GTATAATTTAAACAATTGTTTTCTTAGGGTGAATTGTCATATCGTCCACCTTTCTTCGGCTACTGCCCTCCCGTTCATAGTAGAGTCAAATCGGTAGGGGGCGCCTCGTACGGTGGAGACATGCCATCACTACTTGTCATTGGAGGCGGAGAATGTACCAGGGGGCGCCACTCAGTACAAGTGCTGTCCGCCAATACGCTCAAAACACAATCAGGTCAGTAAATCTTTATACATGTTGGCTATTGGTATAGCAACTTCAAAATTACCAAATGTTACAAATGAATGTTCTGGCTATATTTTAACTTGGGGGTTACCTCATGTAGTAAGTTAATGATTGGGCTATATCTTTACCTTGGGACTACCTTATGTAACAAGTTCAATGCTGGGCTATATTTATACTCGCAAAGTTGATACTTAATATAAAAATTATGATTTAAGTATTTCTCATCCATTTAGTTCAAACGAATTATAAACATACGAAGCGTAGGCACCCTTCAGAAACACCTGGTCTTATTCTCCATGTATCTTTTCAATGTTTTCCATGTAAATTGTTTTTGGTTCAAATTCTGCCCTGGTTTTATCGATTTTGAACTCGAATAACAGTTTTGTTGTCTCGTTGGTATTCTCTGGTGTAACTATACTCGATCTGATTGTATCGTCAAGTTGGTAATGACAATTGAATGTATCCTAATTCTCTGTGTATATATATAGGAGGCGCTATGGGAGGGGATCGGAAGCGGACACAAAGACATGGTAGTTTCCGACCATTCCCCCTCAAATAGTTCGCCACAGGGGATTTCACCACGGCTTGGGGTGGCATCGCCTCCGTTCAGTCCTGTAAGTATGGCTTCTTTGAGCAACATAATGACATTAATGCGTGTCATACCTAACACATCGGCAAATATATACACATGAACTGATATAGTCTAAATCGTGGTTGTTGCAACACTGCAAAATACGATCAGCTAGAATAATTAATCAGAATGTTGTCAGGAAATACAAAATCTCTGATACTTATTATCTTCATATACAATATACAAATAACCACCTTGCTGTGGTAAGAATAGTATGCACGGAAAAATTATAAGTGCAGGAAAACAACGAAAACTTCAACAAACTTTCAGCTTTTAACACAGCACTCATGTCCACCAATGTTCTATATGTGTGTCCTGCAAACTTCCGGACACGTTGTTTTTTGAGTGTATATATGTGTTGATAAAAACCGAGGCAGTAACACATTTATTGTTTTTACCTAGATAATGTGCACATATATTGGAGAAACATACGCTGATGTGGAGGTATATAACATCATCAGCGGAATAACATACCTGCTTGATGCAACGACGATCTAAGCGCTGAATGTACAGAGTACTACATTTGGCGTTAAGAGAAAGGAAAAGCAATTGTAAGACCTAAACCTTCGAAATAATAACAAACATTACAATCAACAAAAACACCTTATCACCGAATTCAGTAACACAACCTACATTATATTGATTTTTATTTTGTTTACTTATCATTACTGTAGAGTATATCATTAATTGTGGTTACTAACTTTGTACTGAACATGTTTTGCAGGTTTATCTTTATTTTGGACTTCCTGCCAGAAATATGATCTATCCCTACACGGTGTTGTGAGGCTACTTTGTAGTAACACTGCCCAATTACCGGGACTGTGTCACAGGAAGAGTGCCATTCAAACCGGATACGACGCAGACTTCGTCATTTGGGATACACAAGCGTCATACGAGGTTAATTGTTTTATTATAAAATAAGGGATGAACAATGATATTCCAATACCAATATACTGCAATATTTGTTCAGCAATACATTATATTTTTTCATTTTCAGGTAAGTTTTAAAGCGTTTAAGAGCTGCGAAATAATCTTGCAGAAATAATGTTAAGATTCAATTAACTTAATTCTAATTTGGCTGGCTTGGTACGATTACTTACAAAACTGTATGAAATATTTTCCTATTTGGCATCATAACTTGCTGAGGTAATGCTCTATTTTCGTATTTTGTATTTAAAATATTTAAGAAAATACACTTCATTTATAGGAATATAGTGATATATTGCAATATTCCCTAAATATTGCATTAAGAAATATGAATGTTACACCCACCACTATGAAAAATATCCATTACAATCTTTCCGTTAAATATATTAAATGTATTGGAAATGTCTATATAAAATATGCAAATGAATGTCTGTCAATCAAGATCATTCAATTTCAAATTCTCTTACATTAGAAACGGTTCATGTTTACCATGTAACTATATCATTACATTCTCGATGTTATCTTATAAAATACTATTAAACTTTTAGAGATCCAACTTTTACGTTCGCATATTCCCAAATGTTTCGTTTGATGAGCATATATATAGTCTTCGTCGTGACTGTTACTGTCATGTTAGGATATGCCAGACATTAATTAAAAAACAAATACTGTAGAAGTACTTCTACAAATTTTAAAGTGTTATTGAATTTTAACAGAGTAGCGCATTGATGAATTGGCGCACGCACAATATATGTAATAAGAAATTATATACAGAAACCATCGTTAGCGCAGTCCTAATTCAGGGAAATATTTTAAACGCTAAATTAGAATACCACTAAAGCACGTACGTTTACAGTATCTAATGGATTTAAAGACTTTGGCAGCAAGTTGTGTGCGTTGCTAGGTCATAGTTTGATCATGAACATGATGTTTAATTTTAAACAAAAATGATACATTATATATTTTACATCTATTGCAGGTTACAATCCAAACGATTCGTCATAAAAATAAGGTGAGGAGACTATTTTGATGCACAGTCTTATGAGAATGATTAAATACATAATGCCTCACGTTTACCAGCTAAAACAAATAGCATTGTTGCGACAAAACATAATGGCGATTTTATCATTAAATTGATGTAATGAACATTAATCTATATATATGGTGATCTCCAAGATACAAAACGTTTTTTATTATTATTATTTTGAAAGCTAAAGCATTTTATCTAAGTACCAGCAGTTCAATAATATTCCGTCTTTGCGTATTGCAGAGTTATCTTCTCTTGGGAGCAGGTATTGATTGTTACGTCATTGGTTTGTGCGAGAAAATTACGTCGTTTTCTCAAAAATTGATGACGTTACTCTCACAAACAATTGTCATAACAATCAATACTTGCTCCCAAGAGAAGATAACTCTGCAACACGCAAAGACGGAATAGCCATCCCGGCTTGGGAAATTAATTATAAAAAACTTACCATTTCTAGGATAACTTCGGTCTAGGCCCATGTATTCCACCTATTCACTCAAATGTTCAATGGCCGTACTTTGAATTTCTTATAAGGTACATGTACCTTGTTTTAAGTAATTTTTAAGGTGTCTATGAATTCATGTAATTCAAATTGACACGATATTTTCTTACCCAGTTAACGCCATACGAAGGGAGACAACTGCAGGGCGTTGTGAAGACTACTGTAGTTGGTGTTGCGATAGTTTGTGACAATAACATAACAGCTAGGATTCATGCTGGGAACATGCTTTTCACACATACGGAAAATTAAGGGAAACTTTGAAAGTGCTGAACAGATATGAGGAATTTAGAGAACCGTTTATAAAATGCTTTTCAGATACATGTATGTGGAGTTTTCAGAGAAACGTTGAAATTCTTCTTAGAGAAACGAAAAGTTTAGAGAAATATTAAAAACGCTTCTCAGTCAAATATAGGGATAATTTAGAGAAACATTAAAATGCTTTTTAGTCATAGGAAGAATAAGGAGAAACATTAAAAATGCTTCTCAGTCAAATAAAGGGATACTTAAGAGAAAAGTTAAAACGCTTCTCATTCATAGGAAGAAACGTTGAAATTGCTTCCATGACATATCGGCAATATGGATGAACATTGAAAATGTTTAACAATCATACAAGGAACTAAAATGTAATAGAAGCTTTGCAAAAACTTCGCATATATACGAGGAATTTAGAGAGAAAAAAATAATAATGCTTCTGGAACAAACCAGGAGTTGTAAGCATTAACAATGTTTCTTGTACATACGAGGAGGTGGGAGAAATATTGATATGTTTTTCGTAAATACGCGGAATTCAGCAAAATATAAATGTTTCTCGTAAATTCGAATTCGTACATATAAACATTTGAAAATGCTTCTCAGACTCTTAGATATGCAGGAAGTTGAGATAAACATTCAAAGTGTTTTTCAGACAAAGAAGGGATTGCGAAAATCACGCAAAATTAATTTTACGGCATCTACAGTGTATGACAAACGTTATATACTAGTACATTATTCAGCCCTCCGTATCTTTAACTGACTCCATTAGTTTTCATGGGAGATTGTTTTAGGTACTTGGTCACTGATCTTCTACCAGACGACCCGGGCTCTATTCCTGTTATATACCTGCACCCAACAGCAGTGAGCTGTGCTTACGACTGTGTTTATCCTTTGAAATTTCTTGATGTTTAACTACATGTATTATCATTTAAAAGTACGCCATTCTTTTTCTCATTTAAGATAACCTAGATGCACTGATATCATTGATTTTTCATTAAAAAAAATGATGTCTCCATTCCATAGTGCCTTCTTGTGTTCATTTAGCTTAACTTTTGTTTTAGTTTTACAGCAATTACATTTGTTATTTCATCTTATATTGATAACTCTTGTTCGCCCGGAGGTAATCGCGCGGGGGAGCAGGGGTCTTGATCATCTTCGCTAGCCAAGGATTACGATCCGTTACGATCCGGTCTTCCTACTCTTCACTCGTAGAGTAGGTAGATCGTACCGGATCGTAACCCTTGGCTAGCGAAGATGGGGTCTTGATGTGCGAGGAAACCGGAGTAGCTGGAAAAAAACAACGAGGTCGGGAAGTTGACCCCATGTCCGATCGGAAAATCTAACCCAGGTCGCCTTGGTGAAAGGCGAGTACGTTATCAACTGCACAGCCCGACCACCCAAGTTGTCTTCATTCATTAACGACATTAACAAGCAAACATGGAAGACTGTTTAATACATGTATGTATATTTTTTTATTCTGATATACGAGTACCTGTTACATCTTAAGATAACTGACAATTGTTTATATTGTCGAGTGTAATACCGGTTAATTTCTATGGTGGTCTCTGAGCAACACGTTCTTTACAACGTGGAATCACATATATTATAATTATTTATATTTACACTTCATATTTACAATGTCAATTTGGTAATGCTGCCATATTAAAATTATTATATTTACACTTTTTATTTACGAAGCCAATTTGTTGATGCTGTCATGTTTTAACAGTCAAATGCAATAGTTAAATAGAAACCCGGTGAAGATAAACAAATGAATAGCAATTAAAGTAAGCTAGCTTTGACTGATGATAAATAATAAAATGTAGATAATTTTACTGTCCTTGCGTTGTCAATATTTAGTTTGCGTCTGTATGTTCGTCATCGATTTTTTGCCTCGGTCGTCAACGAAGGAGGTAAGGGAACCGCCATTATTCTCACGACGGGCGTTTCCATATCCCTGGTGAACTGGCGCGGCGCTAGACTTTTGAAGGGAGGGAGAAACAAGAGGAGGATTGTCTACCCCAGCCCCGCTTCCGCTACCTTTAAATGCCTCCAACATACTTTTCAAAAACTTGGAAAGATTTTCATATTCTGGACTCCGCTGTAGCGCTTGTAAAGACAATGTTGTTTTTGAACATATCTGTAGGCATTTAGTCCACAAAGCAAACAGTTTGAATTCCTCCGCCATGTTTAAGCACCTTAGGAGGACATCCTCACGTACAGTCTTGTCCACATTCAAAGAACCTAATAATGTTTCCTCGCACTTCTGTTTCAAGTTCCAGATCTGATATTCTTCTGCCAGAGGTAGAACGACAAATGCCAAATCGTCTGGAACAAATTAGGGATAAAACATTAAAACTGTTTAACATGAATTCAGAAAATGAATTGTTATTGAAATAGGGTGTTAAAATATGAAAAACGGCATTAAACAATGTAAAACAAAAATTGAGGTAATTGATACCGCTGTACCTGGTTAATTGCGAAGAAAAGATATACTCTTTTTTACTGTAGAGTACTCCTTATTCTATAAAGACAACAACCAATCGCGTATTCTGATTAATAGTCTTGTCCGTTGTCAAAATAGTAAACCCTCATTGTGATGCGAGGCAGCTAGTGTTTTAGGCTTTGGTTTTTTAATTACAAATACATTTATTCAAAACAACTATACATTTGCAAAATGCATTGAATTCTTTCGTAAAAGATACTTGAAAATAGAATGTTCACGATAGCAATAATGGCAAACAGATTTTAACTCAGGGATACTCTTTAATTTGAGGCACAGCAAGCCCCGTGAATTAGATATGGTCACCCTATTATTTCAAAACTAGGATAAATAAGTGTTTGAAGGCGCCGATTAAACATCGGTATATGACACATTTAACTTTTATGTCCGTTGCTTCAATGTTGCGTAACGACAATTGGTTTGTCAGAACAAAGTCATCAAGGCTGATGAGATCATATAAATAATTTACTGACTCGTCAAATTGTTATAACACACCTGTTAAATCATGCTATATGAATGTATTTGTTATCCATTCTATCGGTACGCAACCTTAAGCTTGTATCACATACACTTGTTAATGGGAATGTTGTACTACAAAGCTAAACTTTAAACGCCGTTATGACAGGAGATTATCCATCGTTGTTATCAAACGATCAAATGTAGTCAAGTTTGGGATATTTTGACCATGGAATATTGCTCAAGTAATCAAATATGCATATGGTATTCGCGTTGATGCACTTTCCACGATCCAGTCCAGAAACGAATAGAAGTAAGAAATGCTGTCTCTTTAAGACAGAACTCTTGACATTATTGTTCCACAAACCAATTAAATACGCTGCCGCACATACATTCTCATTGTCAAGTTGATAACCCAAGTGTGCTTGGTTATCAGACTTCAGGAGATAATTTCTCTGTTTGATAATTAGAAGCATGTTCGTTGCTGGGTATCCATGTATCCATGCCTTGATGAATTCGTGTAATGTGAAATCAAATATTTTCGTGGTGCCCAAATTTCGTGGTTTCTAGATAAAACACCATTTTGTGGATACAAAAATTTGTGGAGTAGGAGTACCCACTCTCACAAACGTTTTGCTTCATATCAAACTTGTAATTATTACGTGGACCTATGAATACGTGGAGGAGAATTACCCACAAACTCAACAAAATTCAAAAAAACCACGATGATTAGTAACTTTACAGTAAGCACGTGATATCCGTGACATATATATACACACGTCTTCAACACTGATGGTCGAAGTCGAAAAACAGGACAAGTGAACTATCCTATAAGCTTACGTCCAGAAAAGTATTTTCAAGGATTACTGGCCGGATAGCAGAATAGCCAGCATGGTTAATACTGAAACCGTAAATGTGTATTTATCTAATTTAAAACTGACATACAAACACAATAAAGAAAGTATAAATATGTCCGTTCTGATAACATTTAAATGTCTCTTCGAAATAAGTTTAACCCTTTGTGTACAAAGCCTATAATAAAAACTCAGTAAACAGCTTATTTTCAATTTTAAAAATCCTTTTTGTTATATATATTATTACTATACACGATTAGTGAAGGGTGTTTGGTTCTCTTGACGTGGTACGTGCAGTATTGTGTCGTTGTATGTAGTTAGTACATGTGTAAGGGTTTATAAAACAGATTCTTGACAGTTTTCATAACATTCATTCTTAACACATCAAAAATAGTAAGTACTGCGTCATGGTTTCTATTATATAACGATACAATTTCTACACAGGAGATCAGAAAGAGATGGTGTTTCCAAGATGCGAGAAGATCAGTTAAATAAAATATGTCTTATTCAATTTAAATACAGACGAAGATCAACCCAAAATGACATCCTTTCTTACTTACCTGATATTTTCCTCTGATATGCCGGGTGGATGACGTAAAGCAACTCGTGCACGTATTCGTAACATTTGCCCTGGAGCTGGAGTTCCCGCCTTGTGCCATCTTTCCCGCCACTCGACTGGTCACCGTCCGCACTGGTGGCCAACATACGGGCAAACACCGGGGAACACATGGAAAGCAAAGCGGTTGACGTGTGCAGCCGCTTGCCTTCCACGATCAGTACTAGGTCTGTAAAAGCGTCCTCGTGCACGAAAGGGATGACATTGTCTTTCTCCTGTTGGTCTTTGGATGCCCGTGCCTGTTTTAATGGGATTTGCGAATTCGATGTCCTTGTCCCAATGTTCAAGGCAGAGGTACTTCCGGTTGTAGACATGCTCGGGGAGGCTGGACGCAAACACCGGGCTCGAGGACGGGAGAGACCCTGCATTCGTATAAATCCTCAATCGAAAATCTCAAACGTTCATCTGATTGTAAGGGGTCATCTATATACTGCAGAAACGATTTAGTTAAGACTCTGCCTTCTCCATCGAATGCTCCTAGGCGTCTAACCATCCGTCAGAGCTAGCACTGGCGTTAAGGTTTGGCCTAGCACGTATCGGTTTAGCTAGATTAACGTGAATGAACCACGTACAAAGATTTCGATTATTTCATAGATGGTCTATACACCTTTCGATTAGTTTAAACACATTTATCCAGCACTTCGAGATTAGGATTACAGTTTGTGTACTACGATATATATACAGGGTTATTTGTGCACGTAATGTTTGTATAGCCTGCGCTATTATAAACCTATCGAGACTAAGTATAAATGTGTTTGTGTAAATATTAAAAGTTAAACGTCATTGTTGTGTGGCTACCTTGTGTGACGACCCAGGAGAGGGTCTTTACGGTACTACATACTTATGTATAGTAGCTTTAACACTCCCCTGTAATATTAAGTTGCAAACCGTATTTAAAAACCCAAATAAATTATTAAAAAATCATTATAATAAATAAATAAAATAAATAATAAATAGACAAAATATCTATATATATACCACATTAATCAAAGTAAAAAATGAAAAATACGAATTCAAGAACGAAATAAAATGTCAAGCTTACTTAATCCTATATAATTAATTTTAAACCGAGCAATCACGGCTTGATACCAATTTTATTTTGCATTACGAGTAATTGAAAATAAGACTTATCTTCTACTGTCTCCAAAAGAGGAAAAGCAATCTGTATAAAAAAGGCATATTATACTGTTGCGTCTGTGAGCTAGTCTACGTTGGTATTTATTTGAAAAGAAAATATGTGGCATGTCACATTTCATCTTTTTCAAACGCAAAGACCCAAAAAATACTGTCTCCAAAAGAGGATGAGCAATCTACACGTATATACAAAAAAACATACTTAGCCTGTTGTGTTTATGAGCTTAATCTATGCTGATATTTCTTGAAAAGAAAACAAATTGTTTTATATTATTTTAAAAATACAGAGTGGTTTTTACTATCAACCTTAAACGACCTTATTTGTTTCGTTTATAAAATATATAAAGCTACAGGTCTATTTACAGGTAAAACGTCGCTCCATGAGAGCCACTTCACAAATGTGACAATGCAATCAATGGAGAACACATTATCAAATCGACATTGACTCTCTCCTTACAAACTGTACAATACAATCAAACACTCCATTCAGCTGTCAATAGTGCAGGTTTTATGTCGACAACAAATTCTCGCTCCTCAGGAAATTAAATACCCAGCAGACCATTGATGTCAACGAGGCGATAAACAGTCCCCAAATCGTCCAGTGGGTAGGGATTCAGACAGGTCACCAGTTATATAGATGTTGATTTCAATTATCAATGTTTGCGCTAAAGTAAGTGAAAAATATCATTGGTGTACATTTCTATGTCCAAATATTCAATATATTCAATTTTATTTTCGGTCTCATTTTTAATTCATTTGCATTCAACTTTGAATATGATTTAAATATAACATAAATGACGTTATAAATAATAGCAAATAATGCCCCTACCTCCTCTGGATGAATTAGTTTGAATGTTGTGAAATGGGAATGGAAATAAACAAATGTTCCAATTAAACAATTAAAACAAAATGTTCCAATTTGAACGAAGTTTATGCAATGAAAACGTGTCAAAAACCCCCGTAATTTAAACTCAATCTCGATAAAGCCGGAGCGATAAGATAAAATGTTCTTAATAGATAAGCGTCTTCTGTTTCACTGACGACATCGATGTTCCGTGTTCTTGCACTGAGAGTTCAGCATAGCTTTTCCCCTGGTATTGGTTGACGCATTAACTAAGTCTTCTTTATAAAAGTTAACTTAAGTTGTCACATGTTTGAGAAAACTTATGTATGCTAGGTTGCATGTTAGGTTCAGAGTCAACATTGAATACGCTATCATCGAAAGAGCAGGTCATGAATGCTTGTGGGTCACTCTTATCGAATCCAATCAATCAGTTTGACGGTGAATATCATGCCAGATTATAGCCCGAGTCTGGTTTTAAGCCGTTGGTCTCTGGAAGGTCGCGATCGGGATATTTCACAATCGTCTAGGACACCCAACAAGTGCCTCACGGAACTGAGAAATGATGATAAATTGGTCAGGACATTCAAAGTGACCTTCACCTTCCAAGGTCAATCATGAATTACAGTCAAGTTGGTTAACTCGACGAATGTTCTACACAGGTTCTGGTACCGTTTCCGACATTTCGTTTGTAGTTGACGGCACACGAAACGTATTTACTTCCCGATAGATTATCAAAGTGCAAGTTAAAACGATCTCGCAACAATCTAGCGAGGATCTTACCAGCAAACCTAACGAGAAATATTCTTTCGCTATTGTCACAACTGAGTTTGTTTAAAAATGTGTATTTAAGAAATGATTTTTATTTTTTCAACATTTATGAGGTCATAACAACAATGGGTTTATGGACATATTGAATGAATCGCGTTAGCGATTCATGTAAAATATGTCCAAAAACCCATTGTTGTTATGACCTCATAAATGTTGAAAAAATAAATATCATTCCTTATATTTACATTGACGAATCCTTTCAGTGGATCGATATAACAACGAATAAAACAAATAAACAGGGTTTGTTCCTGCTTATACACGGGTGCAACGCAGTGGCGAGAACAGTGTTTTTTCGCGGGGAAATGTGACACTATCGTGAGAGATCTTAGCAACCGTCAACAACAATAACACAACAAAATGTAGTTCCATATTCAATGTTTATTTGTAGCACAGGACACGTGAATACGTGGATATTTCACAAAGCACAGTTCAATAATATTTTAAGATGTAAGAATTAAGCATCTAGGTCGGTCGTTCCGAGTGAGTAGTTTTTGTAGTGTATTACTACGCAGTGTGATCAGGTTACTATCAGTTCCCACGTGCTGAGATTCTATGAACACCTGTGTTATGCATTTATGAATTTAATTTTTGTCAATGGGTCTAAGCATACAGAATGTAAATATAATGGAATGATTCTTGAAATTATGTGGTAGTAGGCTCTTGTTAACCTTTATGAAGCATTCTGTGGTAGCGTACGCACATGGGTCAAAAAGTCTTAAAGATCTCAGCAATATGGCATCTGATCGTAGAGATTTAGCGCAAGAGAAGTGATGGGTCAATCTTTCCATGATCTTGCTATGGTCGGTGATCAAAGTAGATCTGCTTATACTTGAGGGTGATTGTTTCAGTGACATCAATTGATTAGCATTTCTGTAAACCTGATGATTCTTTTTAAGTCAGATGTTGTGTGTGCGTCTGTGTAGTTTTGAACGGAGTCCAACGGATGCTTGTGACTGAACGTTATTGAAACGTACTATACTCGTACAACATTCTTCCGTTTGACACGAGTCTTCATAAGAGGTACCACATGTGGTGAAGAGAAGACTTACATTTCCTGAATTATAAATACATGTTTTGCTTCTGGCGTTTCATGCAACAGTTTTTTTGTTTTTGGTCTTCCATATCAACTTTTTGTATTTTCTATTTCCCTCTGCATCCCCTTTTAACGATAAACATTTTCATCTGGATTTCCTTGTCAAATGGATTTAGCTAGCAGTCAAGAATAATTATTTTCATACTTTGGTTCTCTAAATCATGTCTCGCTAAGATGCTATTTGTCAGTCACCACAACGCTCAATGGAACAAAAGCTGCTGCGCCAAAAGGATTCAATACATTATAAGAGAGTTTGCTTGCTGAGAGGAAGAGAGGCACATTGCTCAAATAGGCGAAATATGGACTAATCTTTAAACAAGAGATACCACAGGGAACTTGGCGCCCACTATCGTACCATCTTCATATGTTCTATGTAGTAAGATTTATATTTTATCTTCTTTTCTCTGTTGGATTGAGTCATGTAAACAGAAAATGCACCTTGTGGTGACTTTCGATAAAACTTCATACTACTGTGTAGGAGAGTGTTCTTTCCAAGTGAGGTTATCGTTTGAATTACTTACAATGTACTTGTACTGAACGTTATGTATGAAACAGGACCTAAATTTGAAATTTGAATAAAATCTGTCCCATACGTTTTAGGCAAATGATAAGAAATCTAAAATTTGTCAAATAGAGCTGCCTGTCGAACTATTTGTTTTTCTGATCAGCCTCATAATGAAACATGCACAACTTATGTCCTGAATCTGCTCCTGGACACATTTTTATTGCATATACCTCAATTTGTGTTTCACCAAGATTTTGCTACAATAGATTTCAAATCATTTAATTTTCTGATGTCCTGGCGACACCTGTACAAGCACAATTAGCATGGATCGCAGTCTGTGCCTCGAGACATGTCGTTGAAAGCGACTATACACGTGGGTGTGTCTACCTGTTTGACGAATGGCTAGGTAAAAAACCTAAGGTTTTGAGTGGTCAGAGATAAATCAGAGTTCAAGAAATACTGGTTAATCGAGCTATGGCAGTTTGAGTAATCCGAGATCAATTTACAAAAAATATATAAGAAGATGTTCCGGGCCAAGCGACTTTTCCAAGAATAGCGAGTTTTCGAGTAATGCGAGCTCATGTAAGTGGGTTTTCAATGTATTGAGATATATTTATGAATAACAAACAAAAAATAAATCAATTGTTTTTACAATATATTTCATCATCTTTTTAAATCAATATCATAGAATAAATATATATCTGTAAACTTACTACAGTTTCTTAAGATTAAAGTATCATTTTTTATAATAACTTATTAATCACTGATGAACCCTCTCATCTCTTAATATTATACATCACTCCGTAAAAATTTATCCAGATAGTTTTTACTCTTCCCACAATGATAAGCAGCATCACTAATCGTAACAGTCTAAAAAGAGAATTAATGTCATCACATGATCAGGGATTCCTATGTGTCACATGATCAAAGTTTCTATCACATCACTTGATCAGTAACTCAATAACATGGCATTATCAAGGACTCAGTTTCGCTAGGATCCTAGAAGGATCTACTTACTGTATAACAGGAAAACTTTCAACCATTCAAATATTTGTCCTTCACCAGTAAAATCCATGTTCTCCCAGTGTTAAATTTGTCCTTTATATGTTATTGCTACATATTGTATGCTCTGAACTTATATTTGCTGTCGTGATAATTTTGTCCTCAAGATCAAGGCTGAAATTAAATTGCAGCAAAGATTTCCCTGCATACTGTAGTTGCTCTATGATTTGCTGAGTGTTATTTTTACCTTTAGATGTTATTGCTTTATTTGGTATGCCCTGAAGTTATATATTTTCTGTCAAGATAAAGTCGTCCTCATGATCGAGACGAAAGTTCAAATGCGGCATTTTTTTTTCTGTATACTGTAGTTGCTTTATGAATTTTGACCAACTGAAATCTGAAAATGACAATTTTTTTATAATTCATAATACATTTTTTTTAAAAATGACTTCCATTATCTGGTGCTGAATTTGAATCCCTTAACAGTTAGTTATGAATTTTAACATGATTAATTAAACGAGTCCTGGACAGAATATTTTTTTTTATTCAACTTGCCATTCCTTAAAAAAGTCATTCCCCTTATTATCCACAACGATGAAAGCTGGAAAATTTTCAACTTCTACTTTCCATATTGCCTCCATACCTACAAAACAGAACAGAATGTTGTTTAATACATGTAACTTAATAGTTAAAACACAGGAAATAGTTTAGGTTCATCTTTTCTATATCTATTTTCCAGTAATCCATTTGCTTGGAATGGAAGTGGCTGGAGTGTGTTGACTCCATTAATATTGAAAACAGTTGTAACACAAATGTGTAGAGATTGAAAATGTTGTCAATCACAAAAATATTGAAATCTTCAAAACTATGCAGCTTTTCATATTAACTGAAACAAATACTGACAGATGAATTTGATTCAGAAATGTCCTCATCAGAAATGATGAAGGGAGGTAACTATTAAAGAATTTATGTTAATATTTTTGTCTTTGATGTAACTATGGGCTATTCAGGAATTAAATATATTGGAGGAGTAGAGTGAAGGTGTTTTTTCAGAGGCCACAACAACCATCAAATATTGAAAAGTATTAAGTTTATGTCATGGTAGGCAAATTTTGATTTCTACCAGCAAATCACAATAATACATGTACTTCCCACCTCCCCCGTACGACTGGTTACAGAACATTAAAGACCTATGTTGGGAGAAGGTAAATCAGAGAAAGAGTCCAATATTACAATCACAGAGATTTTGATTGCAGTGTGTTGTGACCTTGTTAACACATTTCAAGCTTTGATTTACATATATTTGGAAACAAAATAAAACTATTTGTGATTTGAAAATAATTTTGTTTTGCATTATACTATACACTTCTATGAGCTGCATTAAATAATACATTATTAGTTAATCTTCAATTGACAAAATACACTTATTTTAATATACAAAACATTTGATGTGACATGAACTCTATGTGGCTCACCTAATTCTGGATATTCCATGACTTCCACATTTTTGATGCAGTTTTGAGCCAAAATAGCTGCCGGTCCACCAATCGAGCCGAGGTAAAACCCACCATGTTTTTTACATGCCTTTGTCACCTGAGAAACAATGAATATATCCAGTGTTTCATATATTTAGGATCAGAATGTATTTGAAACCAATGTGAGCTAACGACACTGCATTAAATTTCAAAATAATTCAAAACTTAAATATTTCTACAAGAGTGAGTTTTAATACCAGGCACAAAAGTAATACAAATCAAATTTCCAAAAGTGTCTATGCATACATGTAGTAGAACTACTGGTTTACTACAACTGGGATTTGTTGAATAACTTACTACAATAGGCTATTTGGCTCTAACCAACATACATGTAATCCTTTTTGGTTTTCATTACAAAACTTGAACCCACATGTAACATAAAATCTTTATCATGATCACGGAGTTCTAAGCCCCTTTCGCATATCTGGTTCAACCGGTTTGTCTGTTTTTAAATGCAACATTTTCAGACAAAATCCTGGCGGACCTACAAATGTTTATGCAGGCTTTGCAAGGCTTTGTCAAGGCTTGTCTAAAAACAGCATCAGATTACTAGGTCCGACCTTATTTAAAACCAGAGGCCCGAGGAACTTAGCGGTCACCTGAGTTATACTATAGGTACTGGTAGCTCAATTTCATTGCTGAGATATGTGATAGGGAAATCAACATGTTAAACTAAGTGTAATCAAAGGATAAGAATTTTCAAATATTGGTAAATATTGGTTAAATTTTCCTTTAGCCCCTCCCCCCCCCCCCCCCCCCCCCCCCCCCCCCCCCCGGCCCTAGAGTTGGGCCAGAATTTTTTTAATGTAATACCATCATCCACCAAAGATGATCCTGACCAAGTTTGAACAATTTCCTGCTGAAAATGGATAAAATATACCAAAAAAAGTTATTTCCCGATAAAACTAGTCAACTTTATTACCCCCTCCCCAAGGGAGAACTGATGGCTCAAGTGACCTAAAAAGAACAACTTTGGTCCAACCAGTTCAACCGTTTGGATTGCGATACAAATGCGGCCAAAGACAAGTTACGATATTCAGTTGTTACCAGACATCAGTCAACTGTCAGTGCACTGTATGTCAGAGGTTGCTGTTGTACACAAGACCTACCTCCCGACTCCTGTTCCCCTTGGCCAACATAACCATGCTGCCTCCAGCTGCCTGGAACTGGTCGACATATGAGTCCATCCGTCCTGCAGTTGTGGGACCAAATGATCCACTAGCATAACCCTGAAATAAAGATAAGAGAATAATCCTAACATCGTGTACACTATTATATTTGAGAAAGTTGTTTATGTGCAAATAGGCTAGCCGTCTTCATTTGTGTGATAGATTTGGATGTTGACCAACCCTTGTCAGATATGAAGCCAAAATCTGCATCCAGAGTTTCAGCATACAGTTGTGACAGCTATCAGATTATCAGTGATTTTCAAGGAAAGTAAAAGTGCTCCCTTTCACAAGTCATGCATATAAAAAAAACTGGCAGAATATAGAAGGGAAAAAACCCCGTCATGGACACACCATATCATAATTTGCTAAACATACAGGTACTTGTAGTGTCTGACAATAACAAGGATCTCGGGGTAATTCAGCTACTCACAACTACCCAGTGGACAAACAGTAGATCCAAATCAACTCAAATTTGTATCATCCCTTTTATTCCTATTCAAGTATAATAAATAGAACCTCTAGATATATACATGTATGATGATATGCAACCAAGATACAGACTGACTGTGTCGTCTAGTAAATCAAGGGCCGTAACTCTTTTCACATCCATTAAAGGTTTGTGATTGGTAGGATATAAATTGAAATCGGTGTAGAACTTTAGGATTACTTTGGACATAATTGTCTCTGCAGACAGATGGACAAATGACAAATTAACTAAGACAACCTGATTTTGATATACTCCTTGACATCATTACGGGGGTGTATAACTTTCTAATCAAACTTAAAATTAGGCCCAGATTCCACCAGAAGTTTCGCTGCAGAGAATGAGGCCATTGAGGGTTTTTAAAAATGTTTATATTAACATCTCTTCCTTCTTTTGCTTAGTAAACTCTGAATGCAAAAAAATTAGAGTAAGGCTCCGCAGATTGTGACTCTTTTCAAATATGGTGCCTTTCACAGTTAAGCGAGAAAACGAACATTCTTAATGGAGGGCTAACATGCAACACAGAATATGTTCGTTGTCAACTGTGTTCATATTATACTACCATGTATGCCGTCAAAATGAAGGTATATCCTTATATACCTCTGGTGTCTTTGCAGGACCAGCATAATAAACAGGGTGATCTTTGATGTACTGAGGTAGTCCATCCCCACTGTCAATTCTTTCCTTCAGCTTGGCGTGTGCGATGTCTCTGGCCACAATCAGGGTCCCCGACAGGTTGAGCCGAGTCTTGATAGGGTACTGGTTCAACTGTGATAGCATCTCACTCATTGGCTGGTTCATATTTACCTGAAATAGTTTGTTGTTCTCATTAAAAAGTAAAGTGACAGTATAATTAAAACTATTTCATGACTAAAGAACCAGAATCTCGGATTCACAAGGGCAAAGGTCATATTTTCAATGCTAGCCAGCAAAAAGATCTTGATTTTTTTTTCTTCTTCCAAACCGATATTTGTATGGCAAATATTGAAAAATTACACTAGCTCTGACATCACATCTGCTTATCCCTGGTGCTGGACTGAAGTGGAATAGTACTTCCCTGAGAGGTAACTCATTCATAATCATCTTTGGGATTTCATGGTCTGAAACCATTATTAAGAGCCTATAATGTGTTTTCGAGGAAAATATAAACATTATCAATATCATTTTGTCAGATTCATCTCTGAAAGACTATTTTTTTTAATATTACAATATGAAGTCTTGATGATGCTTCAACTTTAAGAGACCAAATAGAACGCTAATTAAATGCACCGACTGTTCATGTTTTGAGCATGTTGTGATTGAAACATTTTATTAATTTATATGATATTTTATTAGCACAGTGTCTAGACTTTAAGTTCAAAGTATTAAAATATTCTTGAAACCTTTGAGTCAACCGCAACAACTATTTCTAGATTGCACTGGTAGACGTTTCAATCTGTACAATACACTCATGCCTAATGCTACCAGCCATGCTGTGATTTAGTGTATTTTGTAAATAGAGAAAACAATGAAGTTAACACACATCTATAACAGTTTGACTGAGATCTTTCTCTTCAATCTGAGGTAGATATTTTGATGGATTGGTTTCCAGTTGTTCCAAAAATACACCTTCATCTGTGATTTTACCAACAATCTGCAATAGAAATTTTAATAGATAATTATGTAAAAGAAGAAACTATGTGACGCAATGATTATATGATTTCAAACAAATTCAAATCTAATTTTTATTCATGATAATTTTCAATAGTTTTGTGAAAAGATTCACTTTTATTTCTAAAAACATATGGGAATATTTTTATTGATGAATGACACATATATTAATATCTGATAATACTTGTAGAATTTAAGTGATATCCGAAACACAATTCAAATCATTATAAAATATTTTATGATGCTTACCTGCCTATCAGCTGAGCATGACACACCTAGACCAACAGGACAAGAGGCGCCATGGCGGGGGAGGCGAATAACCCGCACATCATGACAGAAATATTTCCCACCAAACTGGGCGCCAATTCCAAGGCGTTGTGTCAATTTATGTATCTCTTGTTCCAATTCCAAGTCTCGGAATCCACGACCATGTTCATTCCCTGTTGTCATCCAAATATATTCAGAATAAAATTCATACCATCTAATGATGAAAATTACCTTATTTTATCATTTTTATTTTTGAAATCATTTTATTTTCTGCGATTTGTCTGGTCCCACCCAAACTGGCTAGATTTTTCTACAATACTGATAGGCAGGTAATTACATTTGCACTATCAGATGCGATGATCGCTTAATTAAAGTGCTGAAGTTTTATACAATTTCAGAATTGATCAGTGACATTGTCACATCATTGCTTTTCTATCATTATGCTATTGAAATTATGACATTAGAGAATATATCTATTCAGTCTTTTCCAATTTTTCTTATAATTTCTTGCCCTATTAACCAGCCTTAGTGACCAGTGACCAGCTAAATGTCCTTACCTGATGTGGGCAGAGTGTCTAGGTACTTTGTGGATGCCAGTTTGACCGTCTTTAGGTTGTACTCTGCCGATGTACCGCCAATGACCAGCGCTAAATGATAGGGGGGACAGGCAGCGGTACCTAGTGTCTGACGATCATTAAATACATCAAATTTTAATATCATTCCTGTATCTTGTTTTCTCTATTTCATTGAGTATACTTGAGTTTCTACAATATGAGCACTAATTCTGTTCTTATTTTAACAAAACGGTAGTTTCTTTTGTTTTTTCAGAAGGGGGAGTTTTTTTCTTCAAATACTGGGATATCACTCATTTTTCTGATTTTTTTTTAATTTCTTCGATTTTGTGGGTAATGTTCATCCACGAATTCATAGGTCCTTGCAAGTAATTACAAGTTTGATATAAAGCAATTTTTCATTTGAGTGGGTACTCGTAATCCCAGAATTCATTTACACATAAAATGCTGTTTTGGCAGAAAACCACAAATTTGGGCCCCACGAAAATATCTTATAACACAGTATGTAAAATCCTCTAACAGTTGTGAGGATCTTGGAAATATACTACCATGATTTTCAAAGATACTACTGTATACTGGAAATTTTTCACAACAGTTTATCCGTTTCCTTTTTGCCCTCCATAATGAGGGCAAGTTGCATTGATCATGACAGTGAATATTAGTACACAAATAATTACATGTGAAGGGCAAATTTAACACTGGGCGAATACCATTTTTTCCAGTAAAGTGACTTGGCAAAAGTTTCCAGGTGTACAATATTACAAGACGGAGAGACATGGGAAAAATTTCTCCCTATCACGGGCACCGTTATAAGGACACAGAATATTAAAGAAAATCTGTCCATAAATAGTGACACTTTTGCTTTGATTTATTTTATAGAACTAAACCCACACAAAAGATATTAAATTACAATACCTTGACTTTTTCATTGACGAAGCTGAGGAGTTTCTCGGGGTTGAGGAGGGCCTTGGTTTGCTGATAGAGAAAGGTTTTGTTGGCAGAACCACCTCCCTTGGCGAGAAACAGGAAGTCATACTGACTTGAGTCTGTAGCGTAGAGTTCTATCTGGGCAGGCAGGTTTGTGCCAGTATTAACCTCTTTGTACATGTTCAATGGTGCCACCTTTGAACAAAAACCGAAAATCAATCTATGATCCCTCTTACAAGAAAACAGATCTCGACATACATGCACATTTACAATGTATATAATTGTATACATGTACCAAAATCCTGGATATGAACAAATCACACGAAACAATTGTTAAAATTTGTTTAAATAATTAAATGTTTCCAGTCTTAGTGCACAATCTAAAGCAGAATCAGTTCTGTTAAACTGAAGACTTCTAGTGGGAATATAAAATAAATGAAATATTTCAACTCAAATTTAATTCTTTTAAAACTGCTGAAAATAGATCTAATTCTGTCAATCAGTGTCTCTACTCTTTCTGTATCACTTTCGTAACAGGACATTGAAGTATTTATTGGATTAGATGAGGAAAGAGAGGAATCCAAAGCATTGTCCAGTATAATGTATTTATCCTGCAACAATTAGGCCAGGGAAACCAGCACATAATACAATTAAGACTCAATCATTGTTCCTGCAGGAGGGTGGATTTATTACAGGACAATGTTATAACACTTGATAGGATTTCTACTGAAGGACAATATATGTAGGTGGGCTTAATTACCAGTCATTGGCTTATTGTCGAGTAAAAACTCTATCAGACAACAGCAATTAATGGTATCTTTTTAGTGAAGGAACAGCATTAGAAGATACTATTTTTGCAGTCTTTGATCAGGAATTGAATTTACCACATTTTTGTGTAGAGTATAAATTCTACTGATTTACTAATTAGATGTTGTACCTGTGAGTATCGGAGATTTCTGTTAAGGTATGTGTTGTAGACACCTTTAGACAGAGCTTCAGCGTCCCCTCCCTCTGTCCACACATACTGTCCCTTCTTACCTGTAACATAAAGGTCAACATAACAGCCAGTTTGGGGGGTAATGTAACTTAAAGCAATCTCACAAAGTGATCTAGTCCAACTGTTCCTGGTATACATTGTATAGTTAAGTTATTTACATGGCAAAATGTGTTTCTTTAGTCATCTTTTTTCCTGATTTTTGTTTTTGGAGGAGGCCGGGGTTTGGGAAGAGGGAGATGGAGGGGGAGGAGGATTTACAAATTTTGTGTTTTATAGAGTCACAATGACTAAATATAAGCGAAGTGGCATACTGTTCACAGTCTCTCCACCCCCAGGGGTTCGTTACAAATACTGGTATGGGTCACAGCACACATAAACATGTATTGTGACCCATATATCAGTATTGCATACATGTATTTCTGACATTTGTAACTGACCCCTGTGCTCCAACGGTGTAATTTGGTTTTAATATTCCATTAGTAAAACTACCAAACAGCACTATTTTCAATATAATTCATCAGATTGGATATATATTCTCAAAGTTTTATTTTACACAAAAACAACGTACATATAAATGTGTCATAATTAATGTTTCAAGACTGACAGGTCCCAATTCAATGTCAATACATCAATCTGTTCGTCTTATTAAAAGGATATTATTCTATCAGTGAAGATGTTGTAAAATGTTGGTTGGTAGACATTGTTAATATATAGATTGCTGAATTTATATCTTGACATTCTGGCAGGACCCTCACTGATCATACTGGCACGCCTACAGATCACCCCATACCAGGCAAGACCCTCTCTGATCATACTGGCACGCCTACAGATCACCCCATACCAGGCAGGACCCTATCTGATCATACTGGCACACCTACAGATCACCCCATCCCAGGCAAGGCCCTCTCTGATCATACTGGCACACCTACAGATCACCCCATCCCAGGCAAGGCCCTCTCTGATCATACTGGCACACCTACATATCTCCCCATACCAGACAGGACCCTCTCTGATCATATTGGCACACCAACAGATCACCCCATACCAGACAGGACCCTCTCTGATCATATTGGCACACCAACAGATCATCCCATACCAGACAGGACCCTCTCTGATCATATTGACACACCTACAGATCACCCCATACCAGGCAGGACCCTCTCTGATCATACTGGCACACCTACAAATCACCCAATACCAGGCAGGACCCTCTCTGATCATATTGTCACACCTTCAGATCACCCCATACCAGACAGGACCCTCTCTGATCATACTGGCACACCTACAGATCACCCCATACCAGTAACTAGACAGGACCCTGTCTGAGCATACTGGCACACCTACAGATCACCCCATACCAAACAGGACCCTCTCTGCTCATATTGGCACACATACAGATCACCCCATACCAAACAGGACCCTCTCTGATCATATTGGCACACCTACAGATCACCCCATACCAGGCAGGACCCTCTCTGATCATACTGGCACACCTACAGATCACCCCATACCAGACAGGACCCTCTCTGATCATACTGGCACACTTACAGATCACCCAATACCAGACAGGACCCTCTCGGTCATACTGGCACACCTACAGATCACCCCATACCAAACAAGACCCTCTCTGATCATACTGGCACACCTTCAGATCACCCCATACCAGTAACTAGACAGGACCCTCTCTGATCATACTGGCACACCTACAGATCGCCCCATACCAAACAAGACCCTCTCTGATCATATCGGCATACCTACAGATCACCCCATACCAGCCAGGGTCTGATAATATTTATGCCCTTATAAGCCCTACCAGAAATACGTTAACAATAGGACTTTGTTATTTAGATGTTTTGACGCCTACAGATCACCCCATACCAGGCAAGACCCTCTCTGATCATCCTGGCACACCTATAGATCCCCCCATACCAAACAAGCCCCTCTCTGATCATACTGGCGCACCTAAAGATCACCCCATACCAGCCAGGACCCTCTCGGTCATACTGGCACACCTATAGATCCCCCCATACCAAACAAGCCCCTCTCTGATCATACTGCCACACCTACAGATCACCCCATACCAGACAGGACCCTCTCTGATCATATTGGCATACCTACAGATCACCCCATACCAGGCAGGGTCTGATAATATTTATGCCCTTATAAGCCCTACCAGAAATACGTTAACAATAGGACTTTGTTATTTAGATGTTTTGATCTTGGAAAAGTTAATTAAATATCAGAAGAGCAAATTACACTTATTAGGGTTATTGCACCTGTTATCCGAGACTTGGAAATTCCTCAGAGATAAAAATATTGGGGGTGATAGATGTTATAAAAGCATACGTTCAATTTGAGAATAATTTGATAGGGTTGGATGATAGGTTGTAAGGGTAAATAGATAGAATGAAAATGGTAAACTGTATAGTGTACATGTTTATAATATGTAGCAATTTACTATAAATAAGAGAAGCAAGCTAGGCTAAATCACTATGGCAGAAAACGGCATAGAATGGCAGAGAATGACCGAAGGAGAATGACTGAGGACAGCTCTTGGACATTCAGCTTTGATAGACCGCATTATGAACTGAGAACAATTGTGAGAGAACCCTTGTACTCGATCAAGTTGCAATAAACTTGAACTTTCTTTATCTGCATAAGTCGTCTAATTCTTGTGTTACATGTAAAATGTACCTATATCAGGACATCCTGGCAGAACCTTTTTCATTGTAACTGGCTTATATACGGATTGTTTTATTTGTACTTCGACTGATAATTGTGACTTACCCATACAGATTGCTGTACCTGTACTGTCCTGACACCCTGGCAGGACCTTTTTCATTGTAACTGGCTTATATATGGATTATTTTATTTGTACTTTGACTGATAATTGTGACTTGCCCATACAGATTGCTGTGCCTGTACTGTCCTGACACCCTGGCAGGACCTTTTTCATTGTAACTGGCTTATATACGGATTGTTTTATTTGTACTTCGACTGATAAATGTGACTTACCCATACAGATTGCTGTGCCTGTGTCCTGACACCCTGGCAGGACCATATCCGCTGCTATGCTGGCATTTTTCAGTAATTCTAAAGCTACAAACTTATCATTGTTGGATGCTTCAGGATCACTTAGAATGTTGGACAATTGCTTGAAAATAGAAAATAATATTTTTTTTACAACAATTCTTCTAGGTAATACCAACACACAGGTAATTACACCTTTAAAAAATTGTTTATAGATGCAGATACAGTTTATGCCAAAAATGAAAAAAACATCTGTTTCATTTTTCTAGGACTCATCAAATGATAGAAATTTATCCAAATTGGTCTCAACTACTAACAGACGGAAAGGAGTGTCAAAATTTTGCGAAGTACTGGTTTAGGTTAATTTCAAATAAAGTAATGAGTGAAGTGTGTATATCATGAAAAGTGCCACTTTTCATAATAGATAACAAGGATATGGCAAACCCGAGGGACTAAGAAGTCTACCAGCTTGTATCGTGAAACACACAAACAGGTGATGATAGCTCCTTTAAAAAAATGTATAGATAATCGGTGATGCTCAGAGCCTAATACATTTCAATTATTACTTAATACACTGTAAATTGTTTTTGTTCTGATGAATTGTCTAACACAACATTTTAATTAATTTATCATAAACAATAAAGAATACTGTATATCTATAATAAATCTATTCTGTTAAGGATTTCACTCCCCATTTCTGGTCAGAACACACACGTACCTGTAGGTGACCTGGACGTAGTAAATGCGCAATGTCTACCATAGCCTGTTCAGCAATCAAGGTCAAAGCCTCGGGTTGGACGTGTAACATTTTCTTGCCTTTGACCTCAAATGTGGACACATAGTCACCTGCAGGTTATATTTACCAATTAAGTCCCAAAACGTAAAAACACAACTTATATATCAAAGTAGATATAATACACATTGCTATGTTATAACCTGTGGAATTTTCTGAGGATGAACACTAGTTAATAGAAAGTTTGGATAATCAGAGTTCAGACAATCAACATTCCACTATATTTTTAATTGTATATGCATGCATGTTCTATAAAAATGTATTGATATTGACCTTAACATATCTGTAATGGAATTATAGAACTATGCAAACAAAGTACAATAATATGGAAGAAATCTATAAATTAATATATATGTCTCAATTAGCATAAACCTGCAGAACCAATCAGAATTGAGGATGTATCGTTTATCATCAATGATTTTACATGACCTTTGAACTTTGTGAAAATCTTTTCCTTAACAAAAACAATATTATCTGCAAAACATCCTGGATGGAGTGACAAAATGAGAACATTACTCATGCACTCAGATAAAGTGATTGCTAGCAATGAGGAATGATTACTTGTCTTCAAATTTAATTTTACCCGTGAGTTTTTTCCAGTTAATGTCTTGTTGATTTTCAAACTGGAGCATGTCTTGGTAGACAAAAGGTTTGACCGCTGCTGCTTGAGAAGCCTTTCCTCGAACAAATTGTTGAAAACCATTTCTGCAGGCACAGTGCAGCAATCTTCCTCTGGACCCCATCATCTGTCTGTAAATAACAATGTAAGATCACTAATAGCCAGTTCAAGTAGCATTCTCCTCTTTGGATTCGGCCAAATCAAAATTAATGACTGTCTTTATATAAATATGTCTTTACAGTCTTTATATAAGTACAGAATATACAATTGTAATTATAATCGTGATTAGATTGGGAGTTTGGGTGAGGGGGAAGGAGATTAGTCTCAAATCTGAGATGAACTAGAAATCAAGTTAATATCCCTTAAGTTTCCAAATCATAATCAGCTCAAATGGGTCAGATTCTAATCATAATGCAAAGCAAGAAAAAATATAGTATATTTGGGGTGCATTCCTCCTCTAAATCAGAGACTTATTAAATAATGTAGTGGAACTTGACTGTATGGGTTAAGATTGCCTGTGACAAGGTAAAGCTCAATTGGCAGAGCATCTGTCAAGAATTTTGAGAGTCCCCAGTTTGAAACCCCAGTCTTGATGTGCTCATCTCTCTATAATTTATAAATGCACTCAACCATATATTTTTCTGTCTTTGATCAGCTGATATTATTTATTATTTTAACAGGAGAGGCGAAAATGCACAGCCAGACTGGGCTCGAACCCAGGACCCTCTGAACTGTAGATGGACACTATAACCAAAAGAGCTACATTGTATCTGGTTGGGGACAATTGACCCAGTCCAGTTCTGCTACATTCCTCACTAATCCTTTTACGAAGTCTTCAACCCCGAAGACAAACAAGACCCTATACAACCCATATAATTTTGTGGGGTGCTAAATTTGTACAGTATCAGGAGAGGGAAAAAATGCCTGGCCAGGTTGGGGTTTGAACTCGCATCACCTTTCCAAACTCTCGGGCTACGTCATTCGCATATCACGGTTGAAATGGTACGTGTGGTGCAAAAACTTTCCACGATAAACGAACTCACTTGGACCATTCTATAAGCAGAGCTAAAAATGCACAGTTTCGGAGAAAAAATAGCATTGAATCAATAATATCATGTCCTTCTTTGATGCATCCACTGAATTACGTAACGTATCTTAAAACTACATGTGGCTTGACAATTTGTTTTAGAAAGAAATAATGCAAACTACAATAGTCAGAATTAGTTTCGCACAGGTACGTCTTGACCCCTCAATCTACACGTGCCAAATTTTCCTGAGGTTAGCCTCCATTCAGATCTGTGCCTGTTGTTTTCTTTATTGGTTCAACCGTTTCAACTGGATCGATATACACGAATGTACTCTAGACTGACGCTCTATCAATTAAGCTACACCTAGTCGCTGACAATTGTGACCATGCAAGTCCAGTAAATCTGCTACAATATAATTTCTATCGGATATGATTACATTGACAGGTGCCGAAAAACCTCTAACTGCCAATAGCTGATTTTGCCGACTCCGACTGCGACAGCATCAGGAAAATCAGCTATTTCCCGATGCTGTCGCAGTCGGAGTCGGCAAACTCAGCTATTGGCAGTTAGAGATTACAAGGCGCCTGACAAATGTAATTCGTCGTTTAAACCTCTATCACTGTTGAAGTAAGTCAACCACATATACTTTTAACTTTTAATACAGTACATGTACTAGGACACCTATTACAGCTAGCAGACAACCTCTTCAGGTCAAGGGGATTTACATATATCTTGTGAGAACAATAAAGGGCAGTATATTTATGCAGTCATCTGGCCTTGTGCACACTGCATCTTCGATATAAAATATATAACACAGCGCTGGACACAGCCGGTCACCTGGTCGCCAAAGCCGACCAAAACCTTGCTTGGGCGACTAGAAATTGTCAAAAGATAGATGTTACTGGCCCAAAAATAAATCTTTGGGCGAGTACATTATTATTCTCAAAATCGTAGTTTACTCCCATAAATTAACCACCCCAACTTCGGAAATCCTGTACTCTCAATAGTCTGGGTCACGCCGTTAAAACGTGCAAGTGCATCAGAATTGACACAGACGGTACCGGTCAACATGTTTACAAAATGCTTGGTAATAATTGAATGACAGCTACTCAGTTAGTTGCGGATGTCATTATCGTGGTATTATGTACCTTTCACACGAATGCTGACAATTAAGTAACATTTCTTTAAAGTATAAAAATAACATTATGTTTTTAGGGTTATGCAGGTTGGGGAAAACCACCAACTTGCGTATATATGCAAACTCGCCTATTATACGCCAGTTGGAGTATGGATTTGTTACTAAAAAAAACCCAGATCGCTTTAACAGTAACCTTTGCAAGATATTATTAAAAATCGCATTAATTTACGACAAGGTAAATAATATTTTGCTAAAAGATGGTTACTGAAAGCGTTGGCTACTTAGAAACTTGATGTAACGTTACCGGAAGTATTGCATCTGTTTTTGGTACTTTCCCACATGCAAATAAAGTTTATTTTTGCATTCGTATTATGTTTCATGACTGAATAAATGCGACTTGGACAAACAATGTGAAAAAATTAAGATTAAAGTGATTTTGGCTATTTTTAGTAACAAATCCATACCCCTATTGGCGTATAATAGGCGAGTGGTTTTCCCCGACCTGTTATGGGTCGGGAGGGTTTTATTGAAGAATAAAAGACATCTATTTATATTGTTTTTTTTATTGCTCAACACTGAAAATAATCTTAGTGAAATATTTGGGGTACCAATATTCATTTTGGGCCTGTGGAACATTTTTTTTACTAACCCAAAAAAAATAATTCGGGCCAGCCGAACAGTATATGGTAAGTGGCAGTGAATCAAGGAGTGCAAGATATGATTTTTTCTTGTAATAAATTGCTAACAGTATTCCTGGGTCTTTTGTCTGTTGGACTAGGACAACAATCTATTAACAATGTTTAACGCATAGCCTATATAGCCATATCTATGATTTGCCACATTTGAGCACATACTTACGACTTTTATCAAACTGATACTAGCTCACAGCTAGCAGTAGCAGACAACCTTGGTCAAAAAGCGCCTATGTGATAATGCGCTAAATACGTAACGTTTGTGTGACGGGGATCTTCTTCCAAAAGCGGAAGATTTTGCATGAGTTGCGTCCCTTCGCTCAAACCGAAAGTAGGAAGAAAAATGTCAAGACACAAGATCTAGAGCTATTAAATTTAGTTTTTAGTGTTAAAACAGGATATTATTATTAAGATCTTTGTAGCTAATTCAGGAAATAAACATAGAAGAGAAGTAAGTGAGAGACATATGTCAACAAATATGGCTGAAGGAGGTATCGAGCACCAAATCCAAGCAGATGACCGAGGGGCCGACACCGCCCCGATAACTTTCGAAGACTTGGGGATCCCTGACGCAGGGGGAACAGAGCTTCCCGACGCACCTTTTGGTCTTGGCAAGGTAAGGTGTTACTGTCTGAATTCTACATCAGCAACACATATGCTATTGAAAATCATTGTAATGTTTGCCCGGACCACTGCAGGGGTTCGTTACAAATGTCTTAACGCCCATTCTCACTTATCACGCGCCATTAACCGAAAATCATGTAGCATGATCGTTCCACCACCTATAATAAAGCATATACGACAAAAGTTCACTGTTTCAACATTGATATGTTTTCCGAAAACTAACAAAAATATTTTGATGACAACGTACGAACATAAAAGCATCTAATCAAAGGCATACAACACCCTAGTTAGACCGATTATGGTGTATGCAAGCACTGTGTGGGGCCCCTACAATCAGAAAGACATTGACAGGTTTGAAATGGTACAACGGAGGGCTGCTAGATATGCCACTAACACTTACAGACGTACAGCCAGTCTGTCACCAGCTTATAACTAGAGCACCTCGGTTGAACGTCGTTGCAAGACAGAAGACAACAAGCAAGACTATATGTATGCTATTCAACATCCACCACAACCTCATGTATACCAACACCGACATGCTTATTCCACCCAGCAGATTGTCGAGGAACTTACACAGCCTTTCCTACCAAATTCCATCATGTGGTTAAGTGCATGATTACCGGAAGTTCTCGTTCTTCCCATGCACGTACCATCAGTGAATGGAACTCCTTACCAGCAGACACCGTCACCTCAGATGACCTAGCTAGAGGTCTTCAGATCTTGATTATCTGTGCCGCTGGCCTAATTTCCATTTTTTTTTATCCTGTTTTTAACCAATTTTTTACCATGTACACTCCAAAAATGTCATTATAATCAACTTGGCAGAGGCAGAATACCTTGTGAGGTTTAAAGCTTGCTGGTGTGATTCATAATTTCGAAAATGGTTGTTTTTCAACCTTTTAGAAATGCAGCTTTGCGCAATTTAATCTCGGTTCAATCAATTTTCTAGGTTACGTCACCATCCACGGACTAAGACCTGATCTAATTCTGTGGTACATGAGAGTATTGAGACTGTTGAATGGTATAAAGTACCTAAACCCTGAATTTGATCGGGAACTTCATAAGTTTGAAACTTGATCATGTGATTCATTGATTTGCAATTGTTGTTTTTCAATCTTTTTTGTAAAATGTTTTGCTTGATCGTTGTTAAAATCTTTTCTGACCAATTTGTCTCTATACGTGTTCTATACGACTCTTCAATCTTTTGCGAGATAGTAATGGATTTTATATTAAACATCAATTCAATAAACTTTTCTTGTGTTATTTTGTCATAGACTATGCATAAACTGACCTTTTTAGGGGCACCATTTTGTTTAAATATAAAATAATATAGACGTCTCATTGTTAACGTAATTGATATAATAATACCATCACAGCATGTCATTGAAACCTTTTTATACAGCAATATGATCCGCGCTGGCCGTGTTCAGCTATTCGATTGAAGTCCTACGTACATGTTACTACTTAACCTGACGCAGGGGGAACAGAGCTTTCCGACGCACCTTTTGGTCTTGGCAATGTAAGGTGTTACTGTCTGAATTATACATCAGCAACACATATATGCTATTGCAAATCATTGTAATGTTTGCCCGGACCACTGCAGGGGTTCGTTACAAATGTCTTAACGCCCATTCTACAGGTTGGGCACAACGGCGCATATGGGTAATAATCCCGCATTTGGGTAACATCTTTTGTATGTTACGGTTGAATGCACTTCGAATCTACTTTCACTATCCTATATAAAAAATCAAAATTTTGTACTTCACTATCTTTATTAAAAATCGCTATTTATATTGTTATTATAAACAACTTTTGGTTGAACGTTTTTTCTTGTTTTGACATTTTCGTGATTTTAGATGTCCCGACTTTTCTAAGGCTTCAAAGGTCGTGAAAAACTTTCAAAACCGAAAACTGTTCAACCAAAAGTTGTTTGTAATAACCGATAGACATGGCGATTTTCAGTAACGTAAGTGAAGTACAAAATTTTGATTTTTTATATAGGATAGTGAAAGTAAATTTGAAGTGCATTCAACCATAACATACAAGATGTTACCCAAATGTGGGATTATTACCCATATGCGCCGTTGTGCCCAAACTGTTCTAACTTATCACGCGCCATTATGTAGCATGATCATTCCACCACCTATAATAAAGCATATACGACAAAAGTTCACTGTTTCAACATTGATATGTTTTCCAAAAACTGACAAAAATATTTTGATGACAACGTACGGACATACAAGCATCAAATCAAAGGCATACACCACCCTAGTTAGACCGATTATGGTGTATGCAAGCACTGTGTGGGGCCCCTACCATCAGAAAGACATTGACAGGTTTGAAATGGTACAACGAAGGGCTGCTAGATATGCCACTAACACTTACAGATGGACAGCCAGTCTGTCACCAGCTTATAACTAGAGCACCTCGGTTGAACGTTGTCGCAAGACAGAAGACAACAAGCAAGACTATATGTATGCTATTCAACATCCACCACAATCTCATGTATACCAACACCGACATGCTTATTCCACCCAGCAGATTGTCGAGGAACTTACACAGCCTTTCCTACCAAATTCCATCATGTGGTTATAAGTGCATGATTACCGGAAGTTCTCGTTCTTCCCATGCACATACCATCAGGGAATGGAACTCCTTACCAGCGAACACTGTCACCTCAGATGACCTAGAGGTCTTCAGATCTTGGTTATCTGTGCCGCTGGCCTAATTTCCATTTTTTTATCCTGTTTTTAACCAATTTTTAGCTCACTTGGTCCGAAGGACCATGGTAAGCTTAATTATGCCATACTGCAGCGTCCGTCATCCGTATGTCCGTCAAATTTTCCTTTAAAACGCTACTTTGGTCAGAAGGATCCTTTGGGGAAGGGGAACACATTTTGTATAAATGGTGGGTCTGGCCCCCCTGGGGGCTGAGGGGTGGGGCCCAATAGGTGCAATATAGCAAATTCTTTAAAATCCTTCTTCTTCTGTAGGAATGAAAGGATTTGTTCCATATTTGGTCTGAAGCATCCTTGGATGAAGGGGAACCAATTTTGTATAAACTGTGGATCTGGCCCCCAGGGGCCTTAGGGGAGGGGCCCAATAGGGGAAACCATAGCAAATTATTCTTTAAAATCCTTCTTCTTCTGTACGTATGACAGGATTTTGTCCAAATTTAGTATGAAGCATCCTTGGGTGAAGGGGAACCAATTTTGTATAAACAGTGTGTCTAACCCCCCTGGAAGCAGAGAGGTGGGGCCCAATAGGGGAATTATAGGTAAAACCTTTAAAATCCTCTAATCTACCATAGGAATTAAGGGATTTTATCCTAATTTAGTCTGGAGCATCCTTGGGCCACGGGGACTCAATTTTGTATAAGCAGTGGTTGTGGTCTCCCAGGGGGCAGAAGGGCGGGGCCCAATAGGAGAAATAGAGGTAAAACCTTTAAATCCTTCTTCGACCATCGGGATTAGGGGTTTTATCCTTATTTAGTGTGGTGCATCCTTGGGCCAAGGGGACTTTTTGTATAAACAGTGGGTATGACCCCCCTAGGGGCATAGGGGTGGGGCTCTGTTTGAAGTTTGTTCTTGCTATTTCTCAAGTATTGGATGGATCTTTCTGAAATTTCATATGTACTTACAGCACCTACCATTGAGTGTTATATCTTTACTTCATACCAATTATTTAAAACACATTCAGGTGAGCGATACAGGCCCTCTGGGCCTCTTGTTATATATATACATAGCTTTGTGCTGCAGTTCAACGATGAGACCAACTACAACGACGTTCAACTGATTAGAATCAGAGGAGTAACGTCAAAAATACTACTGATATGTTCGCAACTACAGAACCTTTCAGTTGATAAGGCACAGTTTCAAATGGGGGGTATATAATGACATTTCGGTTACGATGGACACCTGACGACATCGTCAATTATATCTGCGACATAGTCATGATACTCCTAGAACAAAATTGCCGAGTATTGGTAGGCAGCCTTTTCCATTGTTTAAAAAAAGTATTGCATGGCCCCTGAAAAGTACGAGCAGCAATGGACCGGACTTGCATCAACGGACTTGCATCATTGACAGGCTGAAACAGATATTCAACGACGACTAAGATGTCACAATTTGGAAATTGCGTGGTCTTCCACAATTGACCCAGACAGCTTCTACGACTTTGATGTTAAAACGGCCCTTTTCAGGGCAAACGCGCAATCTCACAGAAAGTATAATACAAATCACTCAGAAAACGCATTCCCTATAGCTATCTAACATCAAATCAACATTAATTCCGTAAGCATATATCGATACGTGACCTTTATTTGTCTTATAAAACTGTACTCATTGTCGTGGGAACTTTTTTATAGCTTAATACACGATAAAACTGGTGAATATAGTAAACAGAACCCTTTCAGTTTATTATCCTACACATGTTACTCTTTTGAGAAAAGATAACAAAATGTTTGCAATGCAAAGTTTATTTTCCTCTTTTACTGTATATGCATTGGTGTATTTTAGTGAGAATGAACGTGAAATACACATATGCTATGCTGATATGGGTCACAGCACACATATGCTTATGTATGTTCATGATAGAGGGTCAAAGGTCAACTCGTTTTTGTGCTTTTCTAAATGGATGACATTATAAATATCATATGAATCCAACACTGAGTGACATGGAACACTCAGAGAGAGGTTTAACGTTATACCCTAAATTTCGAACAAAATTTTCACATATAAATATATATCAAATATTCATGACGATCAGACATTTGGGTAGCACTTTGATGGATTGTTCCCTTAAGGTCAAGGCTATGTCAGACAAGGAACCGAAAGGTCAAGGTTATGGCAATGTATCAAATGTTAAATTATTGTAAAGGCTATAAAGAATTCAAATGATCACCTCCACAGTTTCTTATGAAACTTAATAGCAGTGTCAATAATAAATAGATGGAATATTACATTACACATTCAAGTCAATATCAAATACTTTGATGTTTGATGGCATAGTAAAGAGTCAAAGGTCAAATCAGTAATAGGAAAATAATTACTCATCAGTTTTTAGTTTTTTTCATGAATCTTCATAGAATTTCATTAATGTACCACAAAGTGTTCGTGTCATCATGGACTGTAAATGAAAGGTCAAGAGGGAGTGTGTATGTGTTAATATCTTTGTGGTCTATAGCTGCCTGCATCCTTTACCTTTCCTATTAAATTCTAAATCCTAGTTACAGAACAATCAAAATTAATAGTTTTTAGAGCTGTCAATGAAGAGAAAAACAAATTGTGATTTTATCCTCAATAAGATGCATCTGTTTGGAAATATGTAATATTAAAGTTTTACTTTATACACAAACACTGTACGTGTTAAATGTGTCGCCTCGTTTCAGGACTGACTAACCGGTGTCCCTTTGTCAAGCTATATGACTAAGTGAGCAATTTGTATTTTTTACCTGTTTAACGAAGATGTATATTTTGTATATGTCGCCCAACCCAAGTTTTAATTGGTATATATATGTATGGCAAGGTTCATTTGTTCATTCACCACGAACCTTGCTCATCTAATACTAACTCTGCTCCAAAGCCAATACTTTCATTACTTCACCAAACATTGAGTAATGTGTCTGTAGAATGCTAGATTTAGTCAATGAATTACGTTGATATAATTGCCATTAATCACCCGGACAGGAGACATATCAGGTTCCTAAATCATCAAATCTATCACTTCCCTTCTCACTTTTTGTTTGGTCAATATCACCCAACCGTGGACGTTTCACCTGTAGATAGAGTGTGTTCACACTCTATCAAATAGGTTACTGGTAAGATGAAGAATTGGCCCTCTCTCCCATTAGGTCAGTTTTCGGTCATGCAGATGACTTGGCTGGTGTCCCCCATCATCTCTGTTCATGATTTGAGTTTTCTAGATTTTGATTGCTTCTTTGATTTGTCTCGTGATTATGTTTCAGAGACGGTCAGTGCGTGACCTACAGAAGAAAGAGTATGTGTTTATAGTGCTAGCTGGACTGTGCTTACTGGTCACACTGGTACTGACCATCTGGAAGCTTGCTACTTTACCAAAAACTTCCAATGACTTCTCCTTCGCTTTAGTCTTGCTTCTAAGTACAGGTGAGTGATATGTTTGACAATTTCTTTAATATTGTTAGAATGCATGACTAATGCCATCAAACATATTAAACAGATCGAACATATCGATGAATACCGCATTAAAAGGCAGTCATATGTTTAGACCATCTATCTGTCCTACAGAGTTTACAGTTACGAGATCCTAAAAACACACTCATACAAAACCTTGCTCTTCGAATATTTCGTATCTTAAATAAGTCAAAAATAACTAATGGATTCCGAGCCATGTCGGAATTAAAGGCAAAGAATGTGTTGACAGGGAAGCAAACAAGAGGCCCAATGGGCCTGAATCGCTCACCTGGTATTAATCTCACACTTGTAATCTTAAACGTGGACTAAAATTCAGCTAGAGGCAGAATATCAGTGTTTGAATCATAAGAACCTATTAAAAGATTTAAACATATGACACCTGTGACCTTGAATGTTGAACAAGGACATTATTAGGTTGAACAGATTTTATAGTCTTTCAACCCAGCATGCTTTTGCCAAAATGTCATTACCCTGGACCTTTTGGTTATACAGAACAAATCATTTAAAGATTTAAACATATATTGACCACTGTGACCTTGAATATGGGCGAAGTTCATTCATTTTAACAAACTTGGTAGCCCTTCATCCCATCCTGTTAATGGCCAAATATCATCACCCTTGGCCTTTTGCTAATTGAGAAGTCGTTTAAAGTTTTTTTTAACAAATTTGACCCCTGTGACCTTGGATGTACTTCAAGGTCATTCATTTGAACAAACTTGGTAGCCCTTCATCCTGGTATGCTACTTGCTAGATATCATAATCCTTAGGCCTCTTGGTTATTAAGAAGAAGTTGTACTATGAAGGTTTCAAATATATTTGACCCCTGTGACCTTGAATATTAGTTAAGGTAATTTATTTGAACAAAATGAGTAGCCCTTCATCCCAGCATGTTACTTGCCAAATATCATAACCCTAGGCCTCTTAGTTATTTAGAAGAAGTTGTATAAAGGTTTCAAACATATTTTACCCTTGTGATCTTGAATATTTGTCAAAGTCATTTATTTGAATGAACTTGGTAGTCCTACGATTCACAGCATGCTACTGGCCATGTACAATTTGTATCATCAGTAACAGGACATAACTTGTAGTAACATGAGAGAACAAAGTAACAGGATGGACGAGTATACCTCATATCTAAAATATTATCATAAAACACTCACAGTCTCAAATAATAAGTTGTGACTAATTGTATAATTTACTCAAGTGAATTAAATCATACATATCGTAACCCAAGTACATACAATCTACTCGTCCGACAGACGACTTGACAATAAAAGTCACACATCTGTCAGCAAAATCTGCTCCTCAGGACGAGCGGACTAGTGCTTTTGCTGAGCCTGACTATACTTGCATGCATGTACATGTATATATCATCCTCGATATCCAGGGGTTACGCTCAATTTCGCTATATACACCCCTGAAATATGTCATTTGAAGATTACAAAGGAGAGATGCCCGACCTCAAAGCCAGTCAATTTGTACCGTTACTTGACTGGTGATTCTTTTGATTTATGTCTCATCCACAAAGTGGCGAACACTGAGCCTTCCATTTTGATATGACATAGGGGTCAAATTCGTTAAAACACTCTAACAATTTCTTCCGTGTCATGTTAAATAGCTGTTTTAGCCGTGTTTAAACAGAGTTATTGCCCTCTACACTTCATTCCATCTGTGACATCCCTTCAGGTGTCACGCCGCTAGTATTCGGATACTAAAACTGGCCATAGGATAAGTACCTGGATACTAAAACTTGCCATAGGATAAGTACCTGGATACTAAAATTGGCCATAAAATAAGTACCCGGTTACTAAAACTGGCCATAGGATAAGTATCAGGAACTGGTCAGGAGTTCATCACCATGTTTTACTGGTGGTCTGCTGCAGTCACCGTAGATTACCTGTCATGTTATGTTCATTGTCACTAATACATACAGTTACAAATCCACAGGGACAATGTATCTGCGTCCCTGCCTGCTCTTATACATACCCATCTTCTGTCCTGACCCATTACACCAAGCATACCCACTGCTCTTCATAATGAGTGCCCAAAAATCCCTCTACAGCTTACAGCCCATTTATCCTTAATAATTTCATTACAAAAACTTTAAAATCATTTAGACCATGTGTGATTTATGTTTCAGTGTTCTGCCTGTGGTACCTGGTTGAAGGTATCATGTTGGAGCGGCCGTATGAAATCCTCGTTCTCTCCATCTCGACTTTTGTGGTCTGGTTGTACATCATACTCAACTTTTCCCTCGGTAGGAAGGATATGGTCAAAATGGTATGTAGTGAATTTTAAATCTTTCCTTACTGGTGTTCAGATTTTGTCTGAAATGTACTCAATTTCCTATAAAATCCAGTTTAGAGGAAAAAATAATTCCTCACTGATGTCAAAGTAAGTTAAAACTTGGAAAACTGAACTTCTACTAGAGAACCATGATGCTTAGAGAAATGATATTTGTACTAGCTTGATGGTGTCAATTGCTATCATGTTTATTAGGGCCCAGTATCGGAGATACCTAGTCAAGATGTTCAGTTCACAAAAATACACATTGAGGTAAAAAGTCAAGGTTGAAGGTCAAGGTCATTATGTTCAAAGGTAAAGGTCAAATTTTGCATCTTTTCACTGATGAACATTTTGTTATGACTTCATGAAGCAAAGTTGGTTGGAATTTAACAAAGAGTCAACTGACTTAAGGTCAAGGTCACTCGGTCAAAGGTCAAGGAAAAATTTAGTATTTTTTTGCTGGTGAACATTTCATTATGACACTTTGAAGCAATGTTTGTGGGAATTAAACAAGGAGTCATTTGACCAAAGGGCAAGGTCACTGGGTCAAAGGTCAAGGTCAAATTTTGTATCTTTTCACTGATGAACATTTTGTTATGACATTATGGAGCAAAGTTGGTCCAAATTTAAAAAGGAGTCAACTGATTTAAGGTCATTGTCAAGGTCAATTATTGTATCTTTTTACTGATGAAGGTTTTTTTTATGTTATTATGTAGCAAACTTGTTCAGAACTTAACACAGTCAACTGACCTTAGGTCCAGGTTAGGTCCAAGGGTCAATGTCAAGTTTTGTATTTTTCACTGATGAACATTTTGCTATGATATTATGAAGCAAAGTTGGTCGGAATTAAAGAATAAGTCAACTGACCAAAGATCAGGGTAACTTGGTTAATGGTCAAGGTCATTTGGGTCCAAAGGTCAAAGACTAAGTGGATCTCTGACTTTGACCCTGGCTTTTGATGGAGGAGGTATATAAGGTGAAATAAAACAAATCAAAGCTAACAAATGAGTATTGCACCGGTATTTGCATTTCTGTTAGCCCAGCAAATATGAAGGTGGAAGGAAACAAGACTCGCATCATAGTACATGTAAAATGTATATTTTGCTTCCTTGCGATTCTTTTTGAAGTTCAAATGTCAACCGTCAAGCTCAGCTATTTAGGCAGATTGCTTCTTGATGATTATGGGGGATAAATTGCCACAAGACGGGGCCCTTACTGACCTGTCAGTGTTCTAGTTCAAATAATAAATACTTAATTTAAACTTTATTTTCTTACGATGTTGTTTGTAAGACTGTACATATTACTTTGCACCCTGTTGATTGTTTCTTGAAATATGTAATATTTCTGTCTATATTTCCAGGTTCGACTTATTGTAACATCAGCTCTCAGCCCGTTTATGATAGTGTTGGGTGTACTGATTGCCAAACACTACTTTGATTCTGGGCGTTTAATTTTCCGCACAGTGGGAGCTCAGAGTTTTATGCAGCGAATGTGTAGGACCATTTTTGGATACTTTGGGATGTTGAAATTTGATCTACAACTCAGTGTAAGTCATATATAGATCTAAAGCTCATGGCCCGGCAGTTTCAAATCCAATCTTGCCTGTTTTATTTTTCCACCAAACAAGTCTTCCCCCCGAGGACACAACTATTTACAACCCAGATTCAGGTCAAGTGCTTGAAACAGGAGTTGACAAGCTGAACAGTTTTGTAACAGGAATAGAAAAATGCTAGGCCAGACTGGGGTTTGAACTCGGAACCCTCCGAAATCTAGACAGACGCTCTTCCTGGTTGCTGACGATGGACCCAGTCCAGTTTTACTATAATATATATTATCTCTGTATATCAGTATATCATGATAAATTGAAGGTGTATTATGACATAACCCTATAAATTGCTATTCGTATAAGATGTTTGACCATTTATTAGAGGAATGTCTAAAAAAATATTATTTAAAAGGTATGCTTTAATATGTGAACTGGATGTTATCTTGAAATCGAACAGGAATGCCATTTAGGAAAACATACTATTGGCAGAATCTTATCTTTTTGTTAGGTTCAACACAGTAACACAAAATGTTTCTATATCACTACAGTTGTCCATGGTAATCCTGATCTTGACCACTGGTCAGGTACTGAACGAGCTGGAATTGGTCATTGTAATCATTGGCATCGTGATTGTCTTTGGGTGTGCACTGATTGGATATCTGGGAGTAAGTTTGATCATTTTTTGTGCCAACTATATATATTCCCATAGCATATACATGTAATTTATAATTGGATATTTGTTGAACTCAAAAAAATGTCCTCGAAACAAATTGTCACCACTTGATATTAAATACTCCATTGTGATGTCATCTTGTGGTATTTTATCTCCATACCATTTTTCACCAAAAAATCCCCAATGTACTTAATTACATTTTTTGTACTGTTGCTTTAACTTCAAAATATATGAGTACTTTTATATGGTAACTGATTGATATAAGCTGCAAAACTTATTTATTACATATAGTATGCAATGTATATGAAAGAAATTATGTAATATTTATGAAATGAGTTATACAATATTTATGATAAAAGATATGTTCCAATACAAAGATAGCTTAAACAATTTGTGTGTTCTCTGTATTTTTCAGGTGCGTTGTGAAAGCAAGATATTGTCCATCATTTATTCATTCACCCTGATAATTCAGCCATGTTATGTAATCTACAAAATTGTGGAGGTAAATACAAAAAAAATGGATTACTTTTTTTCAACTTCAAGAAATTTTATTTGTCTTTTACAGAATAAATTTCAAAAATATTTTTTTAACGCATGTCATTTAATTTGCCCAGTGAAAAAGTGATACATCGTATAAAGTGAAATGGGTTATTAGCTGTTAATTGTTCTCTGTGAAAATAACCCACTTTTAATGTTAAGTTTAAGTGTACCCCGATACATGTATGTATGCTGTGTTAATATTTAACCCTTTCACCACTGTAGACCATAATGGACTCATTCATATCAATGCATGGTAGAGTCTACTGAAGTTACTTAGGGGTGAAAGGGTTAAGGATACTTCTTGGAATACATGTTATACATGATTTATGGCTACCCCTTGTAGTATAGTTACATACACTTTTGTAGCTATATGTCAGAGTTGGGTTTAAAGTAGGAAGATACTTGAACATGTTACAGTTTTATATTATTTCACTTATAATCACTTATAGGTTACTCATTGTGTGACAGTATACTGGGATTTGTTATTACTGCAGTTTTATTTTTCGACTTTTATTGATACGTCAGATATAAGTTAACAGCATAATTAACATAGTAATTAGATGTGCGAAAGGCGAACTTAACACTGGGTGGAAATTGATTTCAAGGGTGAAGGGTGAAAGTTTGACTTGGGGAAACTTTCCTGGTGTACAGTATTAAGCTGCAGTCCACCCAGTGAAATGTTTAGCACCCTCCAAACACAATAGAGCTACAATCTACCCAATTAAAACAGTAAGTGCATGGTCTTTGCAAAGTATTGCTGCAATCTATCCAGAAAACACATAGTCTTCATTTACTAAGTGTGACAGGAGAAGAACACGTTATGGCCAGACCATGATTTGAACCCAGGACCACTAACCTCTAGACACCCATACTAGTTGAGCAACTAGTCCTCAGTGATTGACCCAGTCCAGTTCTGCTACATATTCCTCCCTCATTTTCTAAGTATTTGCCCCCTTAAACAACACTATTTACAATCTAAGTTTTGGTATCCCCTTGCCAAGCATTCACCCAGTACTTGAAGCAAGGGTTGGTCACAGGCACAACTATAACAGGCCCCAGACAGGTATTTGTACGTGGGACCTCCAATCTCTAGACAAATGCTATAAGTAACTGAGCTACCTGATACCTAGGCCTGTTGATTGACCCAGTCCAGTTCCTCTGCTATCAACATGTACCTACATTCCTACCAACAAAGCAGCATAGTATTGCTACAATATACTTTGTAAAATGTTATTTAGTAGGAACTCTTTACATATTATATAGTATCTGGATGAACATGAAATCATCATTATGTACCTAAACTCCTTTTCATACACTTCCAGTCTGTGATTAAGTTCACCCCGGCTACTGACAGTATTGCTGTACCGACCATGGTCTGTGGTGCCATGTCCTTAGGAGTAAGACTTGTCCTGATCGCCTACTTTGTAATGTCGTGGCTGAACTACGGAAAAGGGTTGAAAGAGAAAGGCAAGTCAAAAAAAAAACATGTTATGTAATAAACTTTGATGATATTTATGAATTTTATAAATAGTCTTCATGTGTGTTGATTATGATATAAAGTCTGCATTCTGCAAATAATACTACATGTATTACCAAGATGACCATTGTTTGCCATATTACAACTAAAACCGTGTCATAATATCTCCAAGTCAAAAAGCTTGCATTGTGTATGTTTCATAAGTTCACTTATAATATTTTAGCTTGTATGCTCGAAGGGTCATGTGAGCTGCTTCTGCGTTTTGCGACACCACTTGTCTTTTCATTTAAAGTTCTACTAGTCCATAACAACTGAGTGGAATTTCGACAGAATTTATGGCGATTAATTCCTTTATTTTACAGATTAAAATGTAAATACAAATGTACCGCTGCGTTTATAAAATTAATTAAGTATAAAATAATACAAGTAGCTATTTGTTTTTGGTATGTTCTAAACTAACTTGTGTTTTTGCAGTATTGTACATTTTGCTTTCTTTTTGATTCTTACAGCTTCACTTTGATACCGGTTGCTTATTATTCTTCATTTGCATTTTATATTTATCTTTTTTTTTGTCGTAGTTTATCACTATGGTTACGAATCCCTGGATACTGGACTATGTCCTTGATTCCTCCTATCCAATGTAATTACGAAGTTATATCTTCAAGCATGCAGGGTGTAGGTTTGGTACATGTGATGTCTCCCTATATTTCACTTTCAATTCTTGAAAATTCTTCTGAAGAATCAAAATCTCCCTACAATTCAGTATGATGTTTGATATTTTTAAATTGTTCAAAAAATGATTATAAGCATTAATAACTTATAAGTGTTTATACTCACTTTCTTTTTTACTTATTATAAGTAAGTATCTGCTGTTTACGGACTAGTTTTAATCTAAAAATATCATTCAAAATGCAATCCTTTGCGCTGATTCTGGTAAAAAAAACACTTGTAAGGAAAATCTGGCTACCAACAGTCTCGATCTTCCTACCAGTGGTAGTGAAATCGCCCTACTCTATGTTCTAAAGTCATCACATGTACGAAGTTTGGTGTAAGTGACAAGGTTTGAAACATACAAGTCTAAGGATAAGTGTAGCTGACAAGGGTTGGTACATAGAAGTCTAAGGTTTGGTGTAGGTGACAAGGGTTGGTACATACAAGTCTAAGGTTTGGTGTAGGTGACAAGGGTTGGTACATACAAGTCTAAGGATAAGTGTAGGTGACAAGGTTTGATACATACAAGTCTAAGGCTTTGTATAGGTGGCAAGGGTTGGTACACACATGTCTAAGGTTTGGTGTAGGTGACAAGGTTTGGTACATACAAGTCTAAGGTTTGGTGTAGCTGACAAGGTTTGGTACAAGTCTAAGGTTTGGTGTAGGTGACACAGTTTGGTACATACAAGTCTAAGGTTTGGTGTAGCTGACAAGGTCTGATTCATACAAATCTAAGGTTTGGTGTCGGTGACAAGGTTTGGTACATACAAATCTAAGGTTTGGTGTATATGACAAGGTTTGTTACATACAAGTCTAAGGATAAGTGTAGCTGACAAGGGTTGGTACACACATTTCTAAGGTTTTGTGTAGCTGACAAGGTCTGATACATACAAATCTAAGGTTTGGTGTAGGTGACAAGGTTTTGGTACATACAAGTCTAAGGTTTGGTGTAGGTGACAAGGGTTTGTACATACATGTCTAAGGTTTGTTGTTGGTACATACAAGTCTAAGGCTTTGTATAGCTAACAAGGGTTGATACATACATGTCTAAGGTTTGGTGTAGGTGACAAGGGTTGGTACATACAAGTCTAGGGTTAGGTGTAGCTGACAAGGTCTGATACATACAAGTCTAAGGTTTGTGTAGGTGACAAGGGTTGTTACATACAAGTCTTAAGGTTTGGTGTAGCTGACAATGTCTGATACATACAAGTCTAAGGTTTGATGTAGGTGACAAGGTTTGGTACATACAAGTCTAAGGTTTGGTGTAGCTGACAAGGTCTGATACATACAAGTCTAAGTTTTGGTGTAGCTGACAAGGTCTGATACATACAAATCTAAGCATAAGTGTAGGTGACAAAGGTTGTTACATACATGTCTAAGGTTTGGTGTAGGTAACAAGGGTTGGTACATACAAGTCTAAGGCTTTGTATAGATGACAAGGGTTGGTACATATATGTCTAAGGTTTGTTGTAGGTGACAAGGATTGGTACATACAATTCTAAGGATAAGTGTAGGTGACAAGGTTTGATACATACAAGTCTAAGGCTTTGTATAGGTGCCAAGGCTTGGTACATACAAGTCTAAGGTTTGGTGTATGTGACAAGGGTTGGTACATACATGTCCAAGGTTTAGTATAGGTGACAAGGGTTGATACATACAAGTCTAAGGTTTGGTGAAGGTGCCAAGGCTTGGTACATACAAGCCTAAGGCTTGGTGTAGGTGACAAGGTTTGGTACAAGTCTAAGGTTTGGTGTAGGTGACAAGGTTTGGTACATACAAGTCTAAGGTTTGGTATAGGTGACAAGGGTTGATACATACAAGTCAAAGGTTTGGTGAAGGTGCCAAGGCTTGGTACATACAAGTCTAAGGCTTGGTGTAGGTGACAAGGTTTGGTACGTACAAGTCTAAGGTTTGGTATAGGTGACAAGGTTTGGTACGTATACGTCTAAGGCTTGGTGTAGGTGACAAGGTTTGGTACGTACAAGTCTAAGGTTTGGTATAGGTGACAAGGTTTGGTACGTATACGTCTAAGGCTTGGTGTAGGTGACAAGGTTTGGTACAAGTCTAAGGTTTGGTGTAGGTGACAAGGGTTGGTACATACAAGTCTAAGGCTTTGTAAAGGTGACAAGGGTTGGTACATACAAGTCTAAGGTTTGTTGCAGGTGACAAGGATTGGTACATACAAGTCTAAGGATAAGTGTAGGTCACAAGGTTTGGTACATACAAGTCTAAGGCTTTGTATAGGTGACGAGGGTTGGTACATACAAATCTAAGGTTTGGTGTAGGTGACAAGGGTTGGTACATACAAGTCTAAGACTTTGTGTAGGTGACAAGGTTTGATACATACAAGTCCAAGGTTTGGTATAGGTGACAAGGGTTGATACATACAAGTCTAAGGTTTGGTGTAGGGGACAAGGGGTGGTACATACAAGTCTAAGGATAAGTGTAGCTGACAATGGTTGTTACATACATGTCTAAGGTGACAAGGGTTGGTACATGCAAGTCTAAGACTTTGTGTAGGGGACAAGGTTTGATACATACAAGTCGAAGGTTTGGAATAGGTGACAAGGTTTGGTACGTATACGTCTAAGGCTTGGTGTAGGTGACAAGGTTTGGTACATACAAGTCTAAGGTTTGGTGTAGGTGACAAGGGTTGATACATACAAGTCTAAGGTTTGGTAAAGGTGCCAAGGCTTGGTACATACAAGTCTAAGGCTTGGTGCAGGTGACAAGGTGTTTCGTGTCGGTGACAAGGTTTGGTACATACAAATCTAAGGTTTGGTGTAGGGGACAAGGTTTGATACATACAAGTCTAAGGCTTGGTGTAGGGGACAAGGTTTGGTACATACAAGTCTAAGGTTTGGTATAGGTGACAAGGTTTGGTACGTATACGTCTAAGGCTTGGTGTAGGTGACAATGTTTGGTACATACAAATCTAAGGTTTGGTGTAGGTGACAAGGTTTGGTACATACAAGTCTAAGGCTTGGTGTAGGTGACAAGGTTTGGTACGTACAAGTCTATGGCTTGGTGTAGGTGACAAGGTTTGGTACATACAAGTCTAAGGTTTGGTGTAAGTGAGGCTGCTTTTGTACTGTATATGTGATAATGCTTTTGTATGCAGGGAGTAGGTGTGGTGGACATGGCCTAATTACCTGCAAGAGTTGTTTTAGTGTAGGTGGCATAGCTTTTGATGAAGCTTGCAGGAACTATGTGTTATATACGTAACACATCCATAATCTTACATAGCATAAATATGTGTACTCTATGAGAGTTCAATTTTTTTAACTACACTATTGTAGTCACTATAGTTTCACAAACGATATATTTTAAAACATACATGTTTAATTATATACGTAGTGTGTCATGCACAGATCTGTTTCAAATAAAAAAAAAAATATAATAAAATAACAACAAAAATTCGAAAATTGAAATATGCAACTTAGACAAATGTGATAAACTACTTTCATGAGACGTTGAATTTCGTATTAACATTACCCATTAAACATAGTTAAACTACACCAGAACGGAGGCTTTCCCTTTTTGATGGCATCTCCTTCCCCATATCTGATTTGCATACGATGTCGCGTAATTGGTGAAACATTTTTGTGACATCATATGACCTTAACCATTGCGCGGACGTTCAAATCTAAATGAAATAAAAACAAAATTACCAAGAATAAAACAGAATCAACATAACACGTAATGGTCTATAGCGAAAATTTGTATCAATGAAATGTTTTGAAAAGAAGGTTAAGATGCATGCGGTTTGGTTTAATTTGGGGCCTGCGGTTTAGTTTCAACGAATGCTGTTTGGTGCATGCATCATAAGGTTCAATAATAACATTATGATAACCTTATGCTAATTTAAGATTTTTCCATATTACAATATAGATGTTTTAATATGCTCAAATTAAGTTGTAAATATCTAAAAAGTTTACCATGTGTACCGATATTAACAGTATTAATTCACTTTCACACAATGAATATTGTTCCCGCAATTTGGGGTTATCATGTCATAACCTGACATTAAAACGTCCACGTGACAAATTTCCATTACGTACGTTGACAACAATGCACAAGGGCAGAGCTATGCACATTTTTCCTCGAGCGAGACACAATCATGCGACGTCAATTACAGTAAATGCAAATGTCAGGCGGTTACTTTTGTTCCAAACAAAAGGATGTGAATAAGTTTAGGTCTGCTAGAATTGATAAAAGCATATTAGACTCTCTCTTTTTATAGTTCAATTGCCTATATGATTTCAAATGCTTAACGTTAATAATGTGTTTTGAACATACATTTTGAACTATGTTATTTACTGAAAAAAAGCCTTAAAATGTATCTCTACTAACAACAACAACGAAACACTTAAACATCGAGACCTGTGCAATTTTCAAGCTAATGTTGGTAGAAGACAATAAATTATTGTAGCCGATCATGATATAAATTAGGCAATGTTATCTACTTTTAAATCAAGCATCAAATGCTTAAACTATGAGGTTGAAGGAAACAAGGAGAGGGTATTCATTTATTCTTCTTGCGGGAATTTGAATTTATTTACCAGAAACAAGGGTAAGAGGCTATTCTCATGTCTTACAGTCGGGCATTGTAAATCCAGCTGCAACCTATTTATCTGTCACACCATACCAGTATTTCAGGCGATAGATCGGTCATTTTCAAAACAAACTTGTCCAAAAATTAAAAAGTGTAATTCTTCATCAACTTTCTATTTATAAATCTTCTTTGTATGTTATACATTTATTTTGCATGTCCTTTTTAATTTCATATTTTGTAAATGTGTATAAATATGATGTCTGCTATTTCTAGTTCATAAAATATTTAGGGGTTCATGTTGCATGCTACATTTAATGCATATATATGCTGATGATGCAAAGTTTGATGTCTTACAATTTTTATTTTGATATCAAATTTTTACTTATTACACAAACAATGTAATTTTCAAACGTGTCGCAACGTTTCAAGACCGTCTGGTCCCTTTGTCAACCTATGATTGAGTGATAGCTTGATAAAGGGACCAGTCGGTCTTGAAACGTTGCGACACGTTTAATGCGTACATTGTTTGTGTAAAAAGCAAAACTTTGATATCACATATTACCAAACTGATGAATCTTATTGAAGATGTTTTTATTTTGGTTTTTCTTTTAGTGTTTGCTAAAACTCCTACCGACGCTGAAGCAAACCGTAACAACACCACTGTTCAAACCTGAGGAATGACGCAAGAAAGAGGTTTTAATGGCAGCAATAGATTAAAGTTTCATTGTAGAATTTTACAAAAAAAACATCATTTAACGGCATATTGTTAAAGACGCACAAGGAATTTTGACATCAGTTTCTTGTGTTTGTTTCTAGTAAGGCATTCACTAATATTGTAAATCGTTAAAGATGGTTCCCGTTGCTTTCAGCAATGACTCAACACTCGAAATATCAATAGCATAATGGACATCATACTCTGATATTTCCATAAATCCCAATATTGAGATATAATTTAAAAGATGAAGGCGTGAATGGTCAATAGTTTTGTTTTATGGGTCAGCCCATGGGAAGAAGCTGTCGTAAAGTTAACATGGAGTCCAACATCTTTCACTTGTCCACTCATGTGATTATTTGAGTTAACTAAAAGGTAATATACGATAGTTTTTTTTATCACGTGACTGTATATGTATAAAGTGATATTCATATAAATCGTCGGCCACAGTTTATGATAGAAGATGCATGTGCCGAATCCATAGAGAGCATGGTCCTGTCGTAGTTAATGTTAATGGGTAACACAATGCATATCGAATAAAAAACACCATAAATATGTAAATGCTTGTTTAAAAAAAAAATAACAACACTTATTTGAAATGATTTTGACTTGTTTTGACATACCTATTGTGTTTTACATAAGTTTTTTTTTCTATTGTTGGATTGAAAGACATGCTCTCTATAGCTGTGAATAAACAATATTTTCTCTGTCTCGATATTCTTTTAAAATACTGTTACGATATTCTTTATATTCATAGAGATTGAAATACATATTCAAAGCAATGCAATGTATATAAAAATAGAGTTGCTTATATCTATATCATTGGAAAAAAAGAAGAAGAATCCTGGTGCATAGGTCCTAAATATACAGGTATCGGCAGGCATAATGCCCACCTAGTATCAAACCTGAAAGATGAAGAAATTAATGGCTATATACAATTTGGCATTTCCACGGTTTCTTCTTTAGATACATGGCATTAATTTAAAACATGTTATCCAAGACGCAAACCTAGTTGTAATATATATAGATTAAAGGATAATAATAACAAGCTATTATGCTATCTTATTAAGGTCATTTCATGTTTTCACTCAGTTGTGTTTATGTAAAATATTTGTGTGCGCATATCTATGCATTTAACATATTTACATATATATTTTGACATTCCAAGCTGTATTTTTCATTTATTTGCAATGTTTAAGTTAAATTATCTAATGTTCTTTTAAAGCTGTCAAAGTCATTTGTGCCAAGTTGTTCAGAGTTATCGAGACATTAACGGAAGGTTTAAAACAAAAGTTTGATTTTATGATGTACATTTCTATATGTGAATATTTCAGTGTATTTTTTTGTTGTGTTCGGACGATCATCTTAATCAATGTACATTCAATTTTAGTTTTAAGGATCATTATCCCCCTACCATCAAAACACTAGATAATTCCACCGTAAGTTTTCGTATGTATATATACTTAACTCCCTTTCATTTCGTTTTGGATATACATGAAGTGTAGTTAAGCTAGCAATAGGGTACTTCCTTTCACTATGTAGAGTAGATGGGTAGACCGACAGTTAAATGATTTGAGGACCAGTGTTTGATTCCTGTTCTAGCCCTGCTGGATGTATACACCCATAACACTATTTTTCAATACATTTTGTTTACCTCATTTTTTAATTATTTTTTTATAACCTGCAAGGTATATTGTTCTTTTCAGAACTGATTTACCATAGCTATATTAAAGTCAAAATCAGTTAAAATGCATTGTTACGTTTTTGGCACTTAATGTACCAGGATCTTCATTTTTAAACTACATAAAATGAAAATTTCAATATGAAGTTCTTTAACCTCTTGGCTTTGAACTAGTGCACATTGAGTAATTGTTTTTTGATAGTGTTAAATATACTTAATTACTGATATTTGTACATGCATGTATAAAATGAGGATACATTTGCTTGTGCTGAATGAATATCGTACAACGCTTGGTACCTACATGGTCGGAAAATTTTGCCTCTGTGATTTTCAAATAAATAATTTATTTTTTACATGACATAGGTGGCATAACTTCAAAGAGAGACTGTCCATGTTTTCATACGAATAATAACTGCTGTTTCTATGCGGTGTGTAGCAGCGTCAATGAAGTCACAGTTGTATTTTTATTATATACCACCATTGCGTTGTTGTGATATTTGCTTTGTGCAATTTTGTTTATTTTGTTTATTTTGTTGTTATGATTTTTAATGCTTTCACTCTAAACTTTGAAAATCATTTTTGTTTAAAGTATTCTTTGTGATATGTGATTTCATACAGTTGGCGAGATTTATTTCCTAGCCACATAGCTACCTAGGAATATTCCATCGGACTTCAAAGAACATTAAGGTTGAGCTGATTTCTTTTGCGACTAGTAGCAGTTCTTAAATTCCCTATTTTCTAACCTTTCTAAAGTAAATGATTTCTTCTGGATTTTAATGTAAATATATTTTATTCAAATGTTACATCCAAGTGCCTTTAAGGTTTTAACACGTGCACCATCCGAGTCCAAGACGTTCTAAATAGTCTGCGTCATCTGATGCATGTTAATATAATGCTGAGCCTCAACTTATATAGCCATCACTAATAGTTTGTCTATTTACGTTTTAATGAACACTTTTCTTCCGTTTTCTTAAAAAATGTACAATTTTCTTTTGTCAAATTACCATCCTTTTTTTCAAAATCAAGTGTTTTAACGACCCATTATTTTTTACTGACAAATTAGTAATTAGTTCACAATTACGCTGTGGTATTTGAAAGCAAATGCAAGAATTGGTCAATAAGGCTAGCTGTTATAATGTTAAATATATCATGTACTTTTAGCCCAACACCGTTCCATCGTTTTAATTATGAACGCATTTTAATAATGAAATATAATTGCAGCCCTTATTTTTACAATAATCATTCCATACCTTTTATTGTTTATACGGTGCGATTATATAAGATTTCCTCAGCTAACTTTAACGTTAGTATTGACATTGATAACACAACAGTAGTGTAACAGTATACTTTCATGATTATGATGAGCACACTGCAGAATAGTCAATGCTAAAATGGCCGCATAATAGTATGCATTTTTAGCACTACAATTATATTCGTGCTTGTAATTATTCCGATGCAGCAGTATACACTCATAAACCTATTTTAACACAGATTCCTTACACAGATTCAATACATGGATTCGATATAGATAAAAAAAAAAAGCAGCAGGCTCTTTCTGTTTTATTGACACATAAGTAGCAATTGTTTTTCCTAATTAAAACGTCTAAAATGGAGAGATTCTTTTGAAGCATTCTCGAAAATCCACGGATTACACTCACTTTCGCTCTTTGCAACCATGAAATATGTTATGACAAAATCGAAAGCTCTGCGTGCACCACCTTGTGAATGAGAAAAGAAGATTAGTGTTCGATCTTTTGATATACATCAAAAGAAAATCGCGGTCACGTAACGGTATAATTGACTTGCATCGAAATCGTCGCTTCTCTGTAATCTCTTTAAAGGGACATCACGTGAAAAGGCGTTTTTTTTAATGAATGTATGTATTGTATGCACTTCCACTTATGTTACCTCGCTATCCCCATATTCATAGTCCTTTCCAAATGTCCAGTTTGACCACTTGAATTGTTCGGGAAAGCCCTGCTAAAAATAGCGCCGATAACGTCACCTGACTAGGCAGTAAACACAAGTGGTGCGAGCTGTCAAAGGGGCCCCCAGAGAGGGGCCGTCAGGCAACTGCAACATCTTACCGCACTATGAAACCAAGTTATATGATTTTTAAGTCCGTATTCAAACTTATTGAACAGTAATTATTCATCATTAGAAGTTAATTGCACACTTGCCAATATTCAGAATTTAAATTTATTTAGCTTTAAACATAAATTTGTTGCGAATAAAATTAAACAAGGGATGGAGCACAAGTTTTTACAATTTATCACAGCCTTCTCCCGTCATACATTTACAATCAAATGTCAACAATGATAATAGGCATAAACATAAAGTAGATATATTTAAATATATATTGAATTTAGTACCGGAATGTGGCCGGTACAGATGGTACGGGGCTAAACACCTTCCCTACACCAAGGAACAAACATTTATGATTTTTTTTATATATTCATATTAGTACGAATTTAAATCTTGCATGTAAAAACAAAAATAATTGTTTAATTCAGCAATATAATTAAATCATACCATTTTATTGAACCCGGTAATATTATAAATTATGTAAATCCACGGACTTAGATAACACCTATTTCGGTGACCCAGAAAATACGCCGTGGGCCATCACAACAGTTATCCCTTGGAAGGCCTCATGGAAAAATCTAACTAACCTGCAGTCACCTATCCCTTCCTTTCGCATAAACCACTGTGTAATTATAGAAACACAAAGTAAACTCTCTCCAATACGTGCCCATTAACATATTAAACTCAGTACATCTGTGTTCAAACTCAGACAAAGATACTAGCGAGCTTAATAGTTTTAGATATTTATTCATAACATAAACAGCGCTAGCATTTCTGTCGATTCCATTTCAGCTTAACCGGCTATCCGGAAGAAAACATGCACCGTACCAACTGCTACGGCAGTTATTTTCTCCTTTGAATACTGCCCACCTGCAATAATGTTTCCGTAACGTACTCCTTGCGCTATCTTTTGACTATTTGGCAACTTTTCAAATCGGTATAACACTTTTCTTTCGCTTACTTCACACGGCCAGTCATTTTGTTTACAAAGAAATGGTGTGCTATGCGCATGCGCTAGTAGAGGGAAATCCCTGAACAAAACGTTGGTCAGACAGGTAGAAATACCGATGATTTTCTTAGATTTAATCATTTTTATGAATCTATTTCAGCCAAATCCGATCGTTATTTTCCATAAGGAGTCTCACTTGATATGTTTATGTAGTATTTGAAAAAAAGACAAAAAATAAAGTTACCTCACGGTGATGCCCCTTTAAAGGACGTGTATCGGCCTAGCGATTGATCAGGTTTTTTTTACCTTAGTCGAATCAAAACCAAGCAGCGTGCCTTCAAATTTGCAATGAAATATTACAGGGGTGCAGACAACGTAATTGAGCATTTCCCCTGCAGTATTGAAGAATAATGAGAAGTTATCATATGTTATGTTGTATATTAATGATACAAAAAACGTTTTGATTTAATAAAATTTGTACTAAAAATATGAATAAAACATCTACAATAAGTATGGATGTGTACAATTATTATTTTTGAATAATTCGGAGGTTAATTACTTCTTGCACTAATTGATAACGCCATATATGCCATACTTAACACTTTTTTGTTATCAAAACGAATTTAACTAAAATGTCAGTAACGGTGGTATTGGGATTTTACACGAGGCTATTAGCATTCACAAGTTTATGAAATGTTTCCCATCGTTAAGTCGTATTGGGTAGATACACAAAACAAGCAGCATTATCAGCTCACGCGCCAGCATACGATATACTGTAGTTCTTTATGCCGATACAACGGCAAATGTGTTCTAAGGAGTAAATTAGGAGTTCTATAATCTCCTCTATTAGGGAGTTGCAACCTTTAACTCCAAACCCAAACACCAGCTTCTACAGCAAATATTGTGATAACTTTGAAATGTCCGAATTACCGAATCGAACCAAAGGAGCTCAAATTTAAAATAAAATTATGGCTTCAAGTGTCCCAAAGCGCGGGATGTGATAATAATAGGAGGAAGAGAACAAATAAACATGAAGGTGAGAAAGGAAATTATACCGATAATGTAGTATAGAAGGACATGAAAAATATAATTTACAAATGAATACATTGCCGTATATAACATTTCTTTCGCGAGTATGTGATAGCTAATTTGTTGACATGATTATGAAATTGTGAGCATACCGAAAAATGTCACTCATTTTAACGTCATTGCATAATATAGAGATAAAAACGCGATTTTTTTTATTTTTGTACAAAAAATCGAAAAAGGATGAGTGTTTATAGGGCCCTTTTAATCAGCTAAAATTGCTGAGTCCGCAACACGATTTCTCACCTCTGCACGGTTTCTCACCCGGGTGAGAAATCGTGTTAGGAGTAGGCATATTGCCCGTTGCCATGAGTACGAACACTGAAATTGATTTTTGGGGATTGTGGTATATTTAGACTTGTGTACTATTGCAGAAATTTCAAACTTGTTGGAACTTCAATTTTAGGCATCCCAATTTCGTCTGGAACATCATTGAGCTAAGGGGATTTAATTTTGTATAAACGGTGGGTTTGCCTCCCCCATGGGGGCATATGGGCGGGGCCAAATAGGGAAAATAGAGGTAATCTTTTGAAATCCTTCTACTATGGGGATTAAGTGATTTCATACCAATTCAGTCTGGAGCTTTTTTTGGCCAAGGGCACTAAATTTTGTATAAACGGTGGGTGTGCCTCCCCCTTGGGGCAGAGGGGTTGGACCTCATAGGGGAAATAAAGGTGAAACCTTTGAAATCCTTCTTCTACCACCGGTATTAAGGGATTTTGTCCCAATTTAGTCTGGAGCATCTTTAGACCAAGGGGACTCAATCTTGTTAAAATGGTGGGTTTGGACCTCCTTGGAGCATCTTAAGGCAAAAAGGACTTGTATAAACGGTGGGTGTGGCCCCTTTGGATGCAGAGGGGCGGGGCTTAAAAGGGAAATTGAGGTTTTAACCTTTAATATCCTTCTCCTAATGTACCATTTGAAGGATTTTATCTGAATTTGGCCTTGAGTATCCTTAGGCAAAGGGGTCTTAATTTTTTATAGATTATGGGTGTGGTCCCTTTGGGTGCAGAGTTGCGGGGCTCGATGGGTGAATTTGAGATGTAATACTTTAAAATGTTTCTCTTTCTGTACCATTGGAGGGATTGTTTGAAATAAGAATAATTTCCCATGGTTGCTTTATTATCCATGTGAGCGATACCTGCCCTCTGCGCCTCTTGTTTTATTTTATCTCAACACCTTTAACTTACAATGGTATACAAAGATATGTAGTGGTACAATGTAGGACGCTGGAAACGTGATATAGATAGTGCGGTCGCTGGGGCTCGAACACGCGACCCTTGGCTCTCCAGCCCGATGCTCTACCGCTAAGCAGAAGGGAAATTCCCTACAGCTGACGCTTGTAAGGCAACCTAATTAATCCACTCTGTTACGTAATGCACGCAGTCACTGATGATATTCGATGTAAAGTTTCCGAACAGATCTAAATCATGGCTGAGTCATTTCAGGCTATCCTAATTTCTGTTCTGATTTATGGACTAGAATAAAAGTTGTTTAATTGAATATTTTAATCGTGGTCTTGATGATGGGGGAAAATGCCAACATCTTCCACAAAATGGCCGCTGCAGACTGGCTTCTGATTAGTCGAAATGTATGCATTGTCCAAAATCCCTATGCAAAAGTGTGTAGTGTCACTACGAACACTACTGCAATCTGCGTTAGGTTTTTTAATTTGACAATGTGTCCGTGTTAGGTCAGGTCCTGATTGGTCGACATTCAAATATTTAAGGATTAACTTGAATACATTTTTTATGTTATGGAGATATAACACAAAAAAACGGAGTGTACTCTAAATAAACCGCGAAGCGGTTTATGTTGGGCGTACACTCCGTTTTTTGTGTGTCTTATAGCTCCACAGCATAAAAATATATTCAAGTTAATCCTTAGTCCTTATAATTTAATCTCCTTTACACAATCCCTGTGGAAATCCACTTTTATTGATGATCTCTTTTCTTTTAGAAATTGTTACGCCGCCGTATCAGCCAATCAAAAGCGACGTTACAAACGGTGACTTCTTTTTTTACGTTATTGGCTGAAAACATATTTTTTAAGCGAATCAAAATGCTTGTTACCAGCAAGATTACATTACTAACCGATGTGATAGATTTGGTATGTAGGGTTGTCATCGGTAAGCCGGTTAACCGGTTACTCGGGCGAAAACCACGAATCGATTACCAAAATTCTTAACCGAAAAGTCAGTTATTTACTTACCCCTTTTTGGAGCCCCATGTTTCCCTGGCCTATCTGCATTTGTATAGGTGCGACCAAAATTGGAAAGTTTTGTAATAAAAACAGTGAACAGGGATTACATGTTAGTGTTAATTTGTACTCTTTTTAAAATACTGACAATGAGATATCGCCAATGCCATAAAAAGAATACAAAGTTATGAAATATCAACTTTCTTAGATAGAACGCGCCTTTACATGCCAGATGTACAGATAATCTGAAAAGTTCACACTTGAATGAGCAGGCATGTCTTTTAAGATTTGTCAAGCAAATTTTGTTCTAAAGAATAATATTATCGCATATGATTTCGAGTACAGATAACTGTAATTGAATCCGTCTTACTGCATTCCGACATTCTTTGTCAATGAAATATAATTACTGAGGTTGCATGCAACTATTTCCTGTGTTAACCTTGAAATACACGAGTAAACTAAAATATATACATGTATGTTTGTGGTGTAAATACGTTTTAGATATGTAGAACATTTTCCAAACACATAATGTATTTGTTGCTGTTTGACTACCAAATTGACCGATTAAACAGTTACTCGATCGGTAGAAGA